GGGAGCGCCGCCGCGCTTCCCAAGCGGCGCACTTATCCAGTGCGCCACCGGGCCGGCCCCTGAAAGATTATTTTAAAAAATAGAAACCTTTTAGGAGACAGTAGAGAGGAAGGTGATTAGGAAGTCTGAAAAAGAATTCAAAGGAGAAATGTTTAGTTCATTTTCTAAGTCTCCTTGACTTTTAATTTCATAGGTAAAGCAAACCTCATATTGCCCCTCGACATGAATTGTTTCTTTCAGCCAGAATGATTTCCCCCTGGTCTTATGAACGTATCTTGCTCATTTCCTTGTGTGGTTTAGACACACTGTACCTTCTCTTTCCTCCCCTGCCCCCCAACTGTATCAAAATTCTGTCAGTCTTTCAAACCTTGCTTAAATTCACCTTTCCATGACACATTTCCAGCCATGGTTACCATAGTATTCAGTGGACTCAGTCATGTGCCAAATTGATATTTAAATTCCATTCATGCTCATTTTTTTATTTTTTATTTTTATTTTTTTCATGCTTATTTTATTTTCAAAAGATGATTGTAGAATCATTGTATTTCCCCGTGGGACTTTTATTTAATCATTTGAACACTGAAAGCACTCAGTTTATCATTTGTTAATAGATTGGAAAAAAAATTGGCTTTCTATTATAGTATTCTTATTTTCAGTTTTATATTCTGGTGTACATATTACTTATATTAAAAAGTTATAGAGGGCCGGCCCGGTGGCGCACTGCTACAGTGCGCCGCTTGGGAAGCACGGCGGTGCTCCCGCCGAGGGTTCGGATCCCACATACAGACCGGCCGCTCACTGGCTGAGCGAGGTGCGGGTGCAACACCGAGGGCTGCAATCCCGTAGCCGGTCCCCGTCCAGTCCGGGCGCGACACTGAGGGTTGCGATCCGTTGCCGGTCACGAAAAAAGACAAAAAAAAGAAAAAGAAAAAAAAAAGTTATAGAAAACCATTATTTTCTATAGCTGCAATTTAATTAATATTTCCTCTGGGAGAGAGACTTAAGTTTCTAGCCATTTTACTCCCTTTGACTGTGCTGCGAGTCAGCACTATGAACTATCACCATGTAAATGTGTGACAATAAGAAAACTTCTATCTTATTACTGGACAACTAATGCTAAGAAATATTAGGTCAGTGATGATTTCAAAGTACCCTTTGATCCAGCAATTCTGCATTTAAGAATTTAACCTGCAGGGTATATAGGAAGAATACATATGAAGACGCTATTTATTGCAGCATTGTTTGTAGTGATAAATGGTGAGGTATACTCGTATAGTCTAACTGCCACTAATAGGCCACAAGTTAAATAAATTATGATGCATCTATACAGTGGAAGATTATCCAATCTAAAGAAAAGGGGGAAGCTTTTTATATACAGATATGGAAAGATCTCTGAAATATATGGTTAAGTGATAAAAGGGAATGAAAAATGGGAGGGGAGGTGTATACATGTATTTGTATAGACAAAAGTCTCTGAAAGGATATATAGGAAACTAGTAACAGTGGATACTGATGGAGGATGGGGGGTCACTGGGCAGGTGAGGAGTAAGTGGGAGGGAGACTTTTCACTGTATGTTTTATATTTTATATTAATATCTCAGAAAATTTTTCACCTTCCATCACACATTATTGACATTATGTTTATTACCACTTTTAATGTACATCCATAAAAGTTATTTATTCTGAATTGGGAAGTCTGTTATTTTAAATTATTAAAGTGATCCAAAACAACTTAAAAAAAAAAAATAATGACACTATTTAATTAATAAATAGTGACTGAGAGCGGATTGCAGGATTGGGGAACACATGCAGAGCCTGGGCCTATCTTTCACTGTTCCTTGTCTTTGTCTTTTAGATGGTTCCTTTATCAGCTTCAGGCCAAGTTCGAGGTTACTATGTAGACTGGAGAATGTTGCGTGATGTGAAGAGACGAAAAATGGCCTATGAGTATGCAGATGAGAGGCTACGGATCAATTCGCTCAGGAAGAATACCATTTTGCCCAAAGATCTTCAGGTTAGCTAATTAAGACGAGTCCCTTTCTATACCACAAAATCATTAACTTACATCAGATCACCTTTGATGCTATTTGTTGCAACTTAAATTATCAGTATCTGGAGAATAAGATCAAATACTCCAAATCAACACAAACAAATAGCCTTGAAATTGATTTTGGTGAATTTCAGATTAAAGACAACTAACTAGTTGTCTAGTTAATGATTTCAATCATTTCATTATGTGATCCTTAGAAAGTACTGGGGAAATGTTAACACACAGAAATTGGGCAGTTATTTTGACCTATGGTCTTTTTCCTACTTCATGCCAGTCTTTCAACTCTCAAGGCATCAGAAGGCATTGCTGATGCATGAGGCCATGTGCCTAGCAGGTGGCCTGAACTGTTCCTTACCCAGGATTATTCCTGGCCTGTCTTCCTGCATTTCCTTGACCACATCTGTGTGCTGAGGTTGCCTTCCATTTAGGCTTGCTTTCTTGTCATACTCCTCAAGTTGAATAAGAGCATGTCAACCCTGCTTGGTTTCCTGAATATATGCATTTAAGAGTTTGTCAGGCAGTATAAATCAATCTCAAGGCCACTCAACTTATCAGAAGCACAGATTTAAAAAATAACATTTATAAAAGTTGTCAGAATGATATACAGCCTGTTCATTACTATGAATTCTTTTAAATCTTGTCTGGATTAAGCCAGAATAGCAGAAAACTGAGTGACCTAGCCCACAGTTATGGCTTTTACTGTAGTGGCATTAAGCTATCTGCCTACATTTGGGGAGTAATAAGAAGTAGCCCCTGAGAAACTCAGCTCAAGGTGATGTGATCATAGAAATAGAATAGCATGGTGGTTGCCAGGAGCTGGGAGGCCAGGGGGAGGAGGGGGACAGGGAGCCTGGTGGGGAATGGGGAGATATCTGTTAGTCAAAGGGTATAAACTTTCAGTTATAATATGAATAAATTATGGAGACCTAATATATAACATGGTAACTACAGTCAATAATACTGTATTGTATACTTGAAATTTGCTGGGAGTAGATATCTATCTCTTACCACACAAGGTAACTGTGAGGTGGGAGATGCATTAATTAGCTTGACTGTAGTAATCATTTCACAATGTATATGTACATCAAATCATGACATTGTACCCCTTAAATATATATATATATATATTATATAATTTTTATTTGTCACTTATACCTCAGTAAAGCTGGGGGCAGAGTGGGTGTTGTTGAGTCCATTATTTATGAAGACCCCAGAAGAAATGTCTCTTGTATCAATAGCTGTGCAGAGACTATGAATTATGGAAACTAATCCTGGCTCTGTTACCTGCCCAATAGCTTACATGTCAAATTTATGTCCCACTTCTAGCAAATTGACAGGCTTTCACAGCATACACTTTCGTGTCCTCAGGCTTTTATCTTTTCTACTGTCATTCCCCTTTACCCCAATTTCCTCATTTATGAACTGCCTTAAATCTTTTCGGGAACAAGGAGTATGTATAAATAAGTAAATAAACAATTGGTAGCCATTCTTTAAGGTCTGCCTCCGTGAAATTTTGCTTCAGTCTTCCACCCCAGTCATCTCTCCTCTCCAGTTTCTTCTACAGCACTTATTGTCTCCCACTCACTGACTTAATCATGGTGGTTTATATAATAAGTATTTCATAATGGCAACACATGCATAATCTTTTAGAGATCAGGAACTATTCTTAATACTTAATAACTTATGTTAATTTAGTGGCTTTCATATGTATTATCTCATTTAATGTGTGTCCTTTCAATGAGTTAGAGTAATTATTTGGCTTTCACCATAGTCTAGCATAGGGTCAGTCATACTTGTCAGCACACTTGGAGTGAAATGAGTGTGATACACACACACACTCTTAAGCACATACATACGAATTAGTTTCTGCTGACAAAACCTTAGCCCAAGCTACTGCTGTAATGCCTACTTTTCTCCTCTCAACCACTTTGCACTTCCCAGATTCATCTCTACATTGCAAAAAAATTTTTAATGTAAATCTCCTCTAATCACTCCCCTTTACTTCTCCAGCAGTCAGAATCTTTTTCTTTCTGCAGCCTTCATGGCTCTGTTATTCTACCCTTCCTCCCTCTCCAGTCTCATCTCAAGCCATATTCTCTCCTACTTGATAGTCCAGAGTTTTCAAACTTTCGTGATTGAAAAATCATCTAGGGAGGCAACAGCAATACATTCACATATTCTCCAAATGACTTAAACAAGAATGTGTATAGCAGAACTATTCGTAATAGCTCAAAACCGGAAACTAAACTACCCAGATGGCCATTAGCTGTGGAATGTATAAATGAATTAGAGTATACTCACACAATGAAAATTACCACCAGTGAGAACAAGCAAATTACGACAGGTGCAACAATTCTGGTGAATCTTATATGCGTATTGTTGAAGGAAAAAAGACAAACAGAAATGAATAAAAAGAATATATGCTCTGTGGTTACACTTACATACAATTCACAACAAAAACTCATCTATGGTGTTAGCAATCGGGTTAGCCGTTAGCCAGAGCATTGATGACTGAAAGGAGGCACAGGTAGGGCCTGGGGTGCTGGTAATGTTGTTTACTTATCTAGTGCTGGTTATTCAGGTATATTCTGTTTGTGAAAATTTACTGAGCTTTATACTTAGGGTTTGTGGCTTCTTATGGCTCTATGTTAAGTTGCAATTTTTAAAAATATTGGGAGGATGTTAAGCATTTCTGGCAGCGTTCTGATCTGTTTGTTTCTACTCATAGGTTAAAGTTCACTACTGTGTCCAGAATTCTTTGGCTAAACTGAGTACATTAAAGAATCTGGCCCTTTCTTCTCTTCCTCTAAGTATTGACTTAAGCATTTAGAGTAAATTAATGCATGCGATCTGTGGGGTAACTTTGTGATTTTCCTTAGGATGTGGCCGATGAAGAAATCGCTGCCTTTCCCCGGGATAGCTGTCCTGTTAGAATCAGAAATCGGTGTGTTATGACTTCCCGCCCACGTGGTGTAAAGCGGCGCTGGAGGCTTAGTCGTATTGTCTTCCGTCATTTAGCCGATCACGGGCAACTTTCTGGGGTCCAGCGAGCAATATGGTAAATTAAATCCAGAACCTCCTGAACACCCCACTTCTGGCAAGAAACTTTTCTAACACACAAAACTCTAGTTTTTGTAGGAACTCAGTAAAATTGTCTAGTCTACCTGATGCTGTCTATAGTTAAATTACTTTTAAATTTTAAGTGAAGAAATTTGGATGTTTCATTCTGTCAGTGAATTATCTTTTCTCTTGGATTTAATAAACATACTGTTCCCGTTACATGGTATAGAGTAATAAAATTCTTTTTCTGTGAAAATATGCTTTCTTTTCCTTCAAATTTAATCTTTTAGTAACATATAAGGGTTTTTCTATTTTTTTAAGGGCACTATTTCATATAGATAATACAACTAATATATATATATATATATATATATATATATGGCTTCATCTCTGGCAATTTGAAATCGTGGCTGGCTTCCCTGACCTGCAGAGCTCACTTTATTATTAGTTTATTGATAGAGAATATAGATTGTTAGATAAAGCTGATATTCTGGATCATCTAATTAATGCTTAACTTGTGTGATGGCCGAAGAAAAAATACTGATTGCTTTCTTTTTCTATCTTCGAGGGACTTAGAGCAAAATATGCCTCATTGAGACCCTGAAAATCTATCCAAAGAAAAGTTTTTCTGGAATAGAACATATTCCCTGTGCTCATGTTTATTTAATCTGTAACAAATAAGTAAGGGTAGCAAAAGGTTGTCTCATGCAGTGACCCAACAGCATCATCAGCCCAGTGATAAAAATATACATAGTAGTACGGAAGCAACTACTTCACATCAGGAAAATATTCCTGGAGATGACACCTGAACTTAAACCAGGAGGCAAGGGTTGAGAAGACCCTTTGCCATGGGAATAAAAGCACAAAGAAGCAGACACAGAGAAGGCATCAAACAATGAAACTACAATTACTTCAGTGTATCAAAAAATATGAAGCACAAGAAGGGCCACATCATGGAGGATCCCACATATGTGAAGGAGTTATGACTTAAACACCAGGTACTGGAGTTTTTAACAAAGGAGTGTCAGCATCAGTTTGCTCCACAGATAACTAACAGCTGTGTGGTAGATGGCCATGAGAGGAAAAGGCTACAGCAAAACAACCAGTTAGGATGTCTTAATTGTTCAGGAAGATGGGGACCTGAACTAAGGTAGTGAGAGGACAGGTTTTAAAAGTATTATTTAGCAAAATAAAAGAAAATTGGGCAAGATATAAGAAATATTATAGCTAAGTGGTAAAGATGGCTCTCAGGTTCCTGGTCAGTGTCTAGGTAGATGAGACAGGGCAACTCCAAGTTGGAAAATATGGAAAAAAAATAACAGTTTTAGAGGAACAGAAGATATGAGTTCAGGTTTCAGTCATGCAATGTTTGAGATGCCTGTGTCATCCAATGGAGAAGTCTAATATACAGCTGGACAGCAAAAGTCTAGAACTCAGGTGAAGAGGAAGTTATGAGGGAATTATCATGATATACCTTGGTTTCATATTTCCTAAATTTATGACAACCTACTAAGTGCAGTGCTGTAGCTAGTATCTCAACTAGTAACTAGTGTTAATTAAATCATAACTACAACAATCACATTTGCCGACTTCTGGCATATCATGATTGATAGGACACCCCCACCTTTTGGTTGGTTTGTTTGAATAAGCCCAAGCTTAATCCATATATTCTATTTGGTTGCTATGTCTCTTAAATCACTTTCATCCCATAAGCCCCTACTTTCACTTCATTTGTTGGTTATGTCATTTGTTGCAGAAACCAGGCCGCTTGTCCTGTAGAATGTCTGACACTTGGCTGTTTGGTTCATGTGTCCTTTTATTCCACTGTCCTCCAAATTTCCTGTAAATTGGTAGTTACATTCAGAGGCTAGTCCGATTCAGGTTTTTTAGGGATGAATTTTCACTAGCAGTGTTGTGTACTCTGTCACATCACATCTGAAGGCACGTATCTGGTTGTCCAACATTTAATGATGCTTAGATTGATCAGTGGGTTCAGGTGGGGTCAGCCTGATCCCTGCATTTGAAGTTCACCCTTCATTCACCTGTCACCTATTCTTAACCACATTTCATTGATGATCATTAACTTGATCTATTATTTCATCATGGTTGCAACGGTGTCTAATTCCATTATTTTCTCTGAATTAGTTGGAATTTGTCTGTAAAACTTTCCCTTAATTTATTTCCCTGAAAGACATATCAAGATAAATGCATGATTCTTTATCAGTCTTCAAGATAAGTGACATGGTGCTCAGGCCAATGAAAATGGTAACAAATCATTTATTTTTCACTTAGGAAATTACAGATTTTGTATACATTTAATGTTTCAATCCACTCGTCTTATTCTTTTCGATATTCGCATTATCGATGTGAGTCCCTTGACTCCTGTACCCTGTTGCCTTGGTACAGGATTATTTAATATTTCTTGCTTTCTAGCATAAGGTAACCCAGGCCTACCTTGTACATTTCCTGCCTCAGACTTTTTTCAAGAGTCCCTAGTCCTTTTAGTAGGAAATGGTGTTTAGTTTAGAGAACACACTGAGCACTAGGGGGTGCTCATTGCTACTGAACTGTCATTACATTTATGTCCTTTTGGTGGGCTTTGCTAGGAAATTGTTTTTTAAAGATAAAAATAATGGTGAGTTTATACTAATTTTCTTTTACATGAAAATCTTATCAACTAATGACATTAACCTGTTTACCTTTATCATAAAATACATTTTCAATATGCTACTAACTTTAATAACAATATTAACGAATTGTAGTTTAAGACTCCAGAATCAGTTTAAGACTTGATTCTGTCTTTAGAATCCATTTCACTAGGAATGGACTGTTGAAATTCCTGTGTTACAAGTTTACTTGAAAGCAACTTGTTTATACTGCTGCCAAATTGATAGACATGCTTTGATTTGAATGTGTTCCTCCAAAATTCATGTTGAATCTTAATTTCCATTGTAACAGCATTAAGAGGTGGAGCCTTTTGGAAGTGATTAGGCCAAGAGAGCTCCACGCTCATGGATAGGATTAATGCTCTCAGGGCTCCAGGGAGTGAGTTTGTCCCTTTCACCCTTCCACCACATGAGAGTACTATGAGAAGGCATCTTGGAAGCAGAAAGCAAACCCTTATCAGACACCAAATCTGCTGTTACCCTGATCTTAGACTTCCCAGCCTCCAGAATTGTGAGAAATAAATTTCTATAAATTATTCAGTCTAAGGTATTTGGACATAGCAGCAAAAATGAACTAAGACATTTTAGGTTTGTCTTTCAAGTATTTACGGTTTGGGGTTTTTTTAATTTTTTTTTATTTTGGGGGTGGGGGGGCAGCTTGTTGCTGCAGGGATTCAAACCCTTAACCTTGGTGTTATAACAAGGGTTATTTTTTACTTACTTTTTCAATTATTCCAATTTTAGATGGTTCTAAAGTCAAAACTGTAGAAAAAGGTATATTCACGTTAAGTATTGCTTCCACTCCCATCTCCTTCCTTCCCCTATCAGTAATGATTTTTATTAGTTTTGGGTTTACTCTCCCAGTTTCTTTTTGAAATGCAAATATATATGTATGTGTATGTATTCACATTTCTCACCTTTTCTTACAAAAGGGCAGTACATATACCATAAATAACCTTCTGCACTTTGCTTTTCCAATTATTCTATCCTGGTGATCATTCTACATCAGCATGCAGAGATCACCATTTCTTTTTATGACTGTAAATATTCCCTCATGTGGATCTACCACAATATGTTCAACTAGTCCCGTTATTAGATATTTGGGTGTTTCCAATCTTTTGCATATATCATTCCAAATCTTTGGCAATGTATCTTTCAGATAGAGCCTAGAAGTAGAATTTTGAGTCAGAGCATAAATGCACATGTAATTGTTAGATACCAAATACCCCTCCATATGAGTTGCAACCTTTTCATTCCATTCTCATTTATGTGTCCCTATTTCTCCATAGCCTTAACACTTCATATGATCAATATAAACTTCAGGAGTTTGTCCAGTGAATTGGTAAGAAAAAAAAAAAAAAGTGTGGCTTTTTTTAGCATTTCTCTTCTCAACAAGGTGAGCATCTTTTCATGCTGAAAGGTCATTTACATTTCTTTTTCTATGAACTGTTTGTTCATAGTTTTTGGAATCCTCTCAATGTGTCATTTGTTTTTGGTTATGGGGTTTTTCTTGCCATGTAAACATTTATGCCATGTAAACATTTATTTTTATGTAGTTAACTGATCAATATTTAGTTTTATTCCTTCTAGATTTTAAGCCACATAGTGTAGTTTTCCTCCACTCTTGGGTTATAATGGAACTCCATCCATGTCTCCTAGTACTTGTATACTTTCATTTTTACATTTCTACCTTTGATCTGTTTGGAGTGTACCCATATGGCTTTTCTTACTTAACTGAATATCCTTAAAAACCCATCTTGCCTCCACTGTTTTGAAATGCCACTTTTACTGTATTCTAAAACTTACATACATATGTTTTTCCGTTCTGTACCATTTGGCCTGTTTATTCATGTGCCAACACAATTATAGACGCATTAAAATGTTTCAATATTTGCTAACAGCTATCCTATTTATAGGCTATTTCTATATGTTAATTTTAAATCCTACCACTTTTACCAAATTCTCATATAAGCTGCAGTAGTTTTGGTTGATTCTTTTGGGTTTTTCCTCTATGTGTCTGCTTTCTCTTATCTAACCGCATTGGCTAATACCTCCAGTACAATGTAGTAATGGAGACCACAGGCACCTTTCTCTGGCTCCTGATTTTAGGGAAAATAAATAATTCTCCCTAAAACAAACAATTCCCTCTAAAAGCTTGACTTCTCTGATATACTTCTAGACAAACATAGTAAAACTATTCTACTGAATAAAAAATTAACTTTATTGAACCCAAGAATAGATGGGTTTTCAAATTAACTATTTTTGCTTTATGGTTATTACTTTTGTAAACCATCTGATCCATGGCAAAACTTACTACATGGTACTATACAAAGATGCTTGTCTATTCTTTTAAGTTTAGATTTAGTTTCAATTCCACATTCATAAACAAATATATTTAAATCTAGGTAGAAACACTTATGATTGGATTATTAGTGCATGGTAATGCATGGTATATGCACTGCTTAAGCTGGCAATAAGGGATCAACCACTCCACTAGCAACCTTCAAGCACAGGTACAAATTTGCATTTTATGCAAAAATTCAAGTTTCACTCTTATTCTTACATCGGTGGGAGCTGGGGTCAGTAACTTAAAGGCAAACAAATATTTGTTTTCTCTTAGCTGAACGAATTATACACAACATAGCGTTTACATTAGGTAAGACTTGCTTTTTACATTTCACATCAGAATGCAATATAACCCTTTCTTGAACAAAATGAGCAGGGTACTAATGAAATCATCTTTGGAGGAAGTATTTAATAAGCATATTTTATTTAAATAAATCCTCCAGTAGGAAATGGCAAATTCACTGCCTTTACTTAGAAGAAGGCATGTAAGTAGTTATCTGTCAAATTTATAGGTGGAGCTCACCAACACTCCCTTATTGGAAACATCAGTATTTCCACATCACAGTTCCCAAAATGACTTTAAAATCTCAAAATTCTGTGTCTCCTTTGGCTTGCTTCTCTCTTGATTCCACCCAGGCTTTGTTAATGGTTCGCTTCATATCATCATCTCCATCTTCATAAATTTTCTTTAGAACATTCATCAATCCCTCACTAGGATCTGTTTCAGTGTCGTAGGAGGGCTTTCTGTTAAAAAAAACATACATAATAATAGAGAAATGAAAGCATGAAAAGATACAATTCAGGTTGGTAACACTGGCAGGGAATGGAGGGGTGGAGACAACAGGAAGACAGATACAATCAAAACAATGCACAAATTCATCTTAATGCAAACAATACACACACACAGACACACACACACAGAGTGCATGAAACAGTCGTAATCAAAATGGTAAGGGGTTACCTTGAGGCAGTGGGATTTCAGGTGATTTTTAGCAGATAAAATAAGTAAATAAGTAAATTTTTAGCAGATAAAATAAAAAAAATATGCATTTACTTTTCTGACTTGTTTTAATTTTTAAAAGCATGTTTCTTCATATAATTTGAAAAATACTTTCGAGGGAAAACACAAACATACACTTCACATGGATACATACTAAAGAAGCGCATACATTTTTAATTAGAAAAGCCTGAGATACTTGAATCTGGGCCTGATGGTGAGAGCACACTCTTTGATCAATGCAGCCAGTTCAATGAAATGTCCAAACTGGGTCAATTAACTTTACATTTAATTATTCATTCAATTTATTTATAAAGTGCCCAATTCCTCAAAAAGGACAAAAAAAAAAAAAAAAGCAACCTGCTGGACGTGTGCCCTCTTCAGGTAGGTTTTAACAATTGAAAGCAGACACATAAGATTAATTGGTTATACAGTGGCCATCAAGAGGTAAATGGTCCAATTACAGTCTATACAGCTCAATTATCCATAAAAACAAACTATTAAAAATCTATAATCCTTAGTGCTGGCCAGTTAGCTCAGTTGGTTAGAATGTGGTATTATAACACCAAGGTCAAGAGTTTGCATGCCTGTCCCAACCAGCTGCGCCCCCTGCCAAAATAAATCTATAATCCCAACAAAGAATACATTAAAATTCTTAAAGAAATGAATATAGACTCACTCTTTCTCTTTACACTCTTTTTCAACCTGAGTCAGGTAGTCCCACCGTGTGTTTTCTGCTTTTTTTCTACATAAGATAATAATTGTATCAGTCTTGACCTGAAAGAAAAAGCAGCAAAACAGGTACAACTTAGAACATGTGGAGATAAACACGAATATTCAGAAAACAATTATTTACTCAGTTTATCAAGTGCCTCATATGTGTAGGATTTATTCTACATGCTAGCCATACTTTTATGAATACGCCAAAATCTGAACACCTACGGAGGGGAAAGACCATAAAGAATACTTGAATACCTTCAAATACTAATAAACTGCTATAAAGACAAAGAAAATATTAATGGGGGATAGGGGTAGCAACTTCATTAGGAAGACCTCTCTGAGGCAAAATATGAGCTGAAGCCAAAGATCTGGGAGAAGGGCATTCTAGGCAGTTGACACAGCAAGCAGAATGGCTCCAAACAGGATGATCCTGGTACGCTTGAAAAAAGGAGGAGTGGCTGGATTCTAGTGACTGAAAGAAAGAGTAATACAGTAAGAGGGGTCAGGGCTAAGCAGGAAACCAGATCATATAAGGCAGTTTGGGGTAAGATAAGGCATTTGGAAGATGCAGAAGAAGAAAGCAATATACTACTGTTGACAATGATCAATGTAATTCCTAGTAATCTTGATAATTCCTTCACCTACAGGATTAGTGGATGAAGACTGCGGTAAGACGCAAGCTAATCAGTACATTACATTTCAGTATCACCTTAAAGCTGCTATGTAACTATATGTAAACACAGATGGCAGAATGGCATGTCTCTATACCTGTAGCATTAAACCTCATTTATTCAAATTATGTAGAAAAGAGGGATTGGATTGTCTGAATGAGTGACAAGTATGAATAATAGTTCTTTAAAAGACAGTTTTGTTATTTTCAGAATTTAGTATACTAACTCTAACTAGGCTAAGTGCTTAAGACCACCTTTAATGTATCAAAAACTTATGCATATTGCTTCTAAAAATAGCTTCCATTAACTTAAGCAGTTTACATACAGTATTTCATTTCAGTATATCATTTCAATTTTGTGAATTACTACCACTGTACAAATGGGGAAAGTGAGGCACAGAGTGATTAAGTAAGCTGCCAAAGGTCACAACTAGTAAGTTGTAAAGCTGACACTGAACTCAAATCTCACTCAACTACTTCAAAAGTTCATTCCCCTCCTGATTTTAATACAATACTCTTATAATAGTCTATTCTTCTACAATAAGAATTGGCAATCTTTTTCTGTAAAGAACCAGATAGTAAATATTTTAGGTTTCATGGGCTATATGATCTGTTGCAGCTACTTAACTTTACCATAATAGCACAAAAGCAGCCACAAACACCACAAGCAAATAAGGATGGTTATGTTCCAATAAAACATTATTTATAAAACAGGCAGTGCGCTATAGTTTGCTGGTCCCTGTTACAGAGGATAAATTAATTCTAGTTCATCTTAATTCTAAATCAGCCAGGTCCAACTTAATAAGGCTTCATAGTATTATGACCAAAAAAAAACACTTACTTTTTTTGAACTGCCTTCCACGGAGATGGGTTTCAAAAGATTGTTCACAATCATAGAGTAACTCTTCCCATTTAGATTCTTAACCAAAAGATCAAATGACCTACAACACAATAGTGAATACATTATCTTCTGGTTCTATGAACGGTACTCTACAGTCCTTGTGAAAAAAAAACCACCAGTTTTATTTCAGGGTGTGCATTTGGCTATCCCAGAAGATTTAACACTCACCTCCTCTTCGAAGGAGGGGAAAAGGGTAAATAATTCTAAATTTAAACAGAATTTTAGAAACTGCAAGGAAATGAGTCCGTTATAAGACAATCTGACTCTTAATGACCACTGTCTTTCCCAATATAATGAGAACTCACCTCTCTGTGAAATGTACCTGCACATTCTCAGTGGGAACTTGATGAATTCCAGTTAAGGTAATGTAGATTTTCACAAACTTATCTGACTGATCCCATCCTAGCAACAACAAAAAAAAGAAGAGTAAGTCTCTGAAACTATATCAACAACAGCAAATGCATGTGGTCCATAACAAAACTCAGTAAAATAAAAATACAAATATTCAGTAATAGAAACATGAAGAAATCTTCTAGACTGAGAAACTGAGTCTCAAAACTGTTACATATCAAAGAGAGTCCTAAAGAGTTCTGTAAAACTTCATGTAGTTTTGTCTCATTCGTTCAATCCATCCTCCACATTGACAAGTTTCTCCCTAAATATAAAACTCTATTTCTGGTTAAAATGCCATAATCCGAACATCTTCAGACCAGTTTCCTGTAGTCACCTGAGTACATAGTGCATCTCCCATAGTAATATAGTACATCTCTTAATCACGACACACACTGCTTTTCACTATGACAATACTCAAAACACATCATGATTTTCAAGGCTCTATTCATGTCCTCTGCTCATGCTGTTCCCTTCCTTTTGCACTTACTGAACACACTCACCCTTCAAACTCAAACTTAAATGTCTCTTCCAATTCTTCCTGACTGTTCCTCACCTCCACAAGTATTTCAACAGCTATATTTTCATAATACTTTAAAAATCTCTATTTAGTTCAGTTAAGCAAATATTTATCAAGTACCTACTATGTTCTAGAAACTGTGAGCATTAAGAAAAATAAGACTGTCCCTGCCCTCATGACAGTTCATCACTCAGATTCAAGGTGCATTGCTTCCAGAGCAAAAAACTTTACACTCCACTGAGGGAAAATAGTATCACTACATTATTATGGTATTAGTTGTATGTCTGTGTCCCAACCACACCACGAGCACGGTCTTAGCCACTGTTCTGTATCCACAAGTCCAAACACAACAGGGCACATGTTAAGTGCTCAAAAACATTTCTTGAATTTAACTGGATTCCTTTCCTCTGTTAATCTTGGTGGTTGTTTGGCAGAGTGAAATGTAAAACATGATTTAAAAACAACAACACAGCTGTGTTCCATATATACTGAATGTATTTCAGAATAGGCTCCTTCTTCATTGCTACTCATCATCTTCGTACTAAATCATCTTACTTTCTTGTTAACTTCTAGAATGTATCCTTTCTTTTTTATCTCATAAAAAATAAAACATCTTATTAAATAAAAATGGATAGGTCCTCGGCCAAGCCACCAAAAATTAATTAGTGGGTCACACAACTGAATCAATTGCTCAGAGGTAGAAAGAACTGGAGGTAGAGGAGTCAAGTCATACCATAATTACTGATTTTCACTGTATATCCTGTTGTAATGGGAGCAACCACAGCAGCTGGCTTTTCACTGTCAAGAAGTTCTGCTTTCCTCTGAGATTTCTGTTGCATCTTGTTCTTGATTTCTGTCTCAATCTTGGATTTTTCAGCTGTAAGGGCATCACGTGCTCTTTTCCTAGTGGCCTTTTCCAGCAACATCTTTACCTCTTCCAGATCTTTCTGTAGCTGTGTTAAAAATAAAAAGGTAACTTAGCTATTATAAATAAGCTAGTGGTTTGATATTGTGCCCATTACCCATTTCAGTTTACTAAAATGAAGCATAAGAATTGAGAGGTTCATCTAAATTTTCTAGAATTGAGTTGCATCTTCAATTCTGTCCTCTGGCTTGTTGAACTGTAAACAACTCAATATTCCTTTCTTTAAAGAAAAACTTAAGAATAAGTAATCAAGCCTAAATTTTCCAGTTTGGTAGACTTACCTGCCTTTGTTTCAGAACATTTTATTTAAAAGAAACTTTTGTGATTTATAAAGTAGAACAAAGAAATAATTTTTTAAAAAAGGAGTTCAAAGATTTCCTTCTAACATCCAGTCCTACTGTCATCAGATGTTAGAAATTTTTAAAACATTAAAGAAGAAGAGAGGAGAGAATACATGCTGACCCTGGTGAAATGCTATGGCCACTTTACTGCTCTGCTTTCTGTCAGTGATTGCTCCTCATTGATCTTCCTACTCCAAATACCACACATTAAAAAAAAAATCTAAATTTTTAAGACAAAAGATACAAAAAAAAAAAAATCTGCTTTTAAGAAAAAAGCTTGTTTTAAGTCAATTTTACAGCCAGAAGTCTGGGAGTTGGTTGTGCAGAAGGAGGAAAAACCCAGAGAAATGATCCAAAATGCAATATATTCTTGTTGTTTTCTTTTCATGCTTATACATCACCTATTGAAGTCACTTCTTTCTAGAGATAGAGCCAACATTTTATGAAGTTCAAGAGTTAAAGACACTGTTAGAAAATTAATGGTCTTAAACATTTTCCCCCAATTATCCTCTGACATATTTCAAATGCATAAGATCTTTCCAAACAACTGATTCATTTTTCCTAAAATGACTTTACATTCTGGCTTAAGATAAAAAAGGCTCAATATAAAAATCTTTAAATGCTTGATAACTCAGTATAACATCAGAAGCACAACAGAGTTTGAAAGCCTTTATGTTTCTTAATAGTTTTATAAAATGCAGAAAGAGAACAACTAATACTTCTCTTTTACCCCAACTCTTTTATCTCATTTAACTCAGAAGCCCTTCTTTTGCCTATCTATAACAGATAACATGGTATTAAAAAGTCCAACTGTGGGCCGGCCCGGTGGCGCACTGGAGAGTGCGCTGCTTGGGAGTGCGGCGGCGCTCAATGGTTCAGATCCCATGTGGAGACCGGTTCCCACTCACTGGCTGAGCGCGGTAGATAACATGGTATTAAAAAGTCCAACTGTGGGCCGGCCCGGTGGCGCACTGGAGAGTGCGCCGCTTGGGAGTGCGGCGGCGCTCAATGGTTCAGATCCCATGTGGAGACCGGTTCCCACTCACTGGCTGAGCGCGGTACACCGAGGGTTGCGATCCCGTTACCGGTCAGTAAAAAAGACAAAAAAGGAAAAAAAAAAAATCCAACTGTGCCCAGCCTCCTGTCTACATTCTCAAAAGAAAAACTCATACCACTAAGACAAAAAAAATTTGCAGACTCATCTTTTGAGCACAGAACCAACATGTTTTAGTTCAAAATTCACAGTGATTTTAATACCAACATAAAAAAACACTGAAAATAAAATTAGTACTTTTGTTCTAATGTAGAGATTTAGTTAACAAAAATAAACAGAAAGGATAGGTATCAAATATAAATAAGAGGTTTTGCTTTTTGCCTGGAATAGGAATCCTTTTTCTAGCAGACCCAGAAAAGAACTACGAGTTAAGCAAGGTATTCCCCCTAATTGCTGAATTCCTAGACCCTCTTTATTGCCAGTTTCGGCTGTAAAGTACTCTCTTGTAAGGCATCCACTGAAGCAGCTTACAACAGGCCTGTTTTAGGTAGTTCCTCAGTTCTCTGAAACCAGCAAAGGTGATTCATTTGGTGCACACCTACTTTAACATATCCTGGATAGTTTTTTATCTAATTTATCTTATAATTTTCCTTGCCTTGTTGGCATGCATTTGTTTTCACATGCAAAAATCTATCTCCCTTTTTTTCTTACCCATAAAGACACTCAAACTTAATCTTCTATTTCTACTCCTTCACTAGGAGGCATTAAAATCAAAGTGCCTTCAGAAGTAGAGAGTAGAATAGTAATTAGGAGACTGGTAAGAGGAAGGGGTTGGGAGATGAGGGGATGGGGAGAGAGCAGTAAACCGATATGAAACTGTACTGAGATAGGAAGAACAAGACCTAGTGTCCTATAGCAACATAGGAAGAGGAGACAAATGTTTTGATGGATATAGTCATTGCATTCAGTATAAATGTACCTAAATATGCCATTGTACTCCATAAATATATACAATTACCGTGAGTCAAATAGGAAAAAATAAATTTTAAAAAAATTTCAGAGATAGAAATAGGTTAGAGGTTACCAGAAACTGGGGGGAAGGAATAATGAGAAGTTATGGATTAATGGGTACAGAGTTTATGTTTGGGATGACAAAAAAGTTTTGGAAAGAGAGGTGGTGGTCACACAGCATTGTGACTGTAATGAATTCCACGGAACTATATATTTAAAAATACTTAAAATACGAATCCTTATGTTATATATATTACCACAATAAAAAACACCCCCCCCCAAACCAAAATACCTCAAAAACAGGCAAAGGACTTGAACAGACATTTCTCCAAAGATATACAAATAGCCACCAAGCATACAAAAAGATGCTCAACGTCTTTAGTAACTAGGGAAATGCTCATCAAATCCACAAGACACCACTACACACACACTAGGATGGTGTCATAAAAATAAAACCCAGAGAGCTCCAGAAGGGGCGAGGGGAGAAAACGAGGCCGGGACCCTTACCTCTTCCAAAACTGAAGCCATGGCCGGGCTGGGTCAGGGCGAAGGCCGGAGCTGCAGCCGCGCGGAGAAGGGAACAGGAAACGCCGCACTGAGCGCGCCCCCCCCTGCCGCAGACCCCACCGGCACCAGTCGCAGTGCCCGCAGCCCGGACGCACACCCGACCCGAGCGAGAAGACGGCCCGCCTCCCTCACGCGGTGCCTCTGGAACCTTCGCGAGGCCGCCGTCGCCGCCCACCCCGAGCACCACCCTCTTCGCTCAGCCTCGCCCCGCCCCGCCGAGCCTCCTGGCAATGCTCAACTCTCGCGAGCTAATCGGCGGTGCGAGAGGAGTAACGCCTCTTCCTCCCCGCCCGGGAAACTGTATGTAGGTATTACACTTCGACCGCGTTTGCCCCAGCTGCGCAGTCGTAGGTGGGAACAGCGACCTTAACACAGCCCCGGAAATGACGTACCACTCTGCGGCCTCACGGCGGAAATGACTAGAAAGTCGGCTGCTTCCGTCCTCTCTAGGTCACCAGGACAGCCAAACAGCCGTCTTGCTTAAAGGTAGCTTGTGAGCCCCCCACAGAAAAGGACAAAAAAGAGGGAGAAGGAGCAACCTAATTATGTTAAAGCGGTCAAGAAAGAACAGATAAACGTGGAGGATTCCTAAAGGGAAGCTTGATTTTCAGTGGGCTCTGACGTGCTGGAGACGTCACCGCGAACTAGCGTCTCCGACGTGGTGGCGTCATCGCCGGCCGCGGTAGGACGTGGGGCTGCGCTGGCCACGTCACAGAGCCCTGTGCAGCAAGCAGGGGTTAGGGCTGCTAAGAAAAGGCACCTTCTGTGGCCACAGTGTTATTTGGGGGGAACGGCTGGTCGGTACAGGGATCTGAACCCTTGACCTTGGTTGTGGCCGCAATTTTTGTCTGGCCGTTTTCTCGTGGGCAGTTGAAGAGCGCTTTCCTGATTCCTTCGCCCTTTCACTGACCGTTCCTCGAGCCTCTAGAACTTCCCCGGGTTTGGATTCGATGTGAGTGCGCCTGATGACCGTCTGAGGAAGTGTGGTAGAATGACTTTTCTTGGGACCGTACTCCTCCTCTCCTGTTGCTAGCAGTCCCGCTCAGTAAAACCCCGGAGAAACCCACTTTTCAAATCATTTAAGTCTTTGGCAGCCTCAACGTTTGCAGCACAGGTGTGAAAACATAAACAGTCGCCCCAGAGAGGTCCAATATCCCGCACGCAGCTTTATAGATCGCCCAAGGCAGCGGCTAAAATCAGCATGTTAGGAGAAGAAAAAAGCTGCTGGAGAAATGCGGGATGACCGTTATCGTAGTAAATCGCATGTACGGTACAAAAACAGACTAATTACCGCAACACGCAACGTGCGTGAATCTCACCAAAAACGGCGTCAAGGAAAAGAAGCCAGACAGGAGAGTTCATGTTGTTTGGTTCCATTTGAATGAAATCTAAAAACAGCAAAAATGTTCAGCTTATGGTGTTAAAAACTGATGTCTTTCTTTGGGATGGGGAAGACAATGACGGAAAGGAGCCACCAGAGGGGGCTTTTCAAGTCGTGGTTATTTTGTTTTATCGAGTACTGGGTTATAGGTGCGTTCACTGTAGAAATTTCATTGAGCTGTAAACTTACACGATTTGTGTAGTTTCTTCTGTAGGTTATACTTAACTAAAAGTTATATTTTTGAAGGTGTTAGAAATGTTATACTGATAGGTACAATTGTGAAAATTCAGGGAATGAACTAAGAGCTCTGTATTTTATTGTATGTTAATTATACCCTAGTTTTTTAAGAATGTCCAACCTGTAGCCAGGAATTATTAAATATGAACAAACCCATTGCACTGGGTGATGAAAGAAAGTGAGCCGAAATGCCAGGTACCGTTCAAGCTTTATTAAAGAAAGAAATCTGCCAGGCTGTGCTCAAAATAAAGGACAGCCGGGGACTGCCCTGAAAATGGGGGACAGCAGCAGGTGTGGGGGTGGTAGAGCTTATATAGGGCGCCAAGGGCTGGCTGATACCATCAAGGAGGGTCATTATGCTAATGTAGATGGGGTGGAGAACTGTCCTTGCAGAAGCAAAAGGGGTTTCTGTTTAAGTCAGGAAGCTTCTCGTGAAGGGGGGAGGGGAGGAGGTGGGCAGCGCCATTTTGTACTTGGGCTTCTCTAAAGTGGCGTTGGTTATGTTGCAGATTAGGTGAAAGCTTGACCTCCTGTGTGAATGGTCACCATGAAGGGGGGAGGGGAGGAGGTGGGCAGCGCCATTTTGTACTTGGGCTTCTCTAAAGTGGCGCTGGTTATGTTGCAGATTAGGTGAAAGCTTGACCTCCTGTGTGAATGGTCACCTCGTTCTCTTAATTGCTCAGGCCAAGGAGGCATACTTGAGTCTTTAGTCTCAGGCCCTACAGCCTATCCTATAGCAAGTCTTGCTGGCTTATTCTTCAAAATATGTCCAAAATCAAGCCACTTCTCACAGCTTCCGCTGCTACCACCTGAGGGGATTCAGGGCACTATCCCAAAATACAGCACCTAGGCATATTTAATACTTAAAGCTGAAGGAGAAACAGCGTGTGCAGGAAGGGCTCTCTGACCCTCCCCCACCCTTCTCCCCTGAAGCAGGTCATAAGACCCTCATGTGAGAGGTGCCTTCCGTATACTGGGAGGAGGAAAGGAGCAGTCTTACCTCCAAAAACATAGGGACACAGAGAGGAAGCTAAAGAGCCTTGCTGTTTCTCCCAGTGTAATTACCCTTATGTCAGAATTTTTTTTTGCCCTATCATGTTTTTCCACAACTCTCCATTCTTCATCAAACCTACTAAAAAAACACTAAGGTTTAACTGTTTCTTCAGGTCTTCATTTCTTCCGTGTCTTCTTTGAAAGTCTCCCAGACTTCTTCGAAGTCTCCCATGTCATGCTTTTCTCTTGTTAATCTGTCTTTAGTTACAGGGCCCCAACCAATGAACCTATCTGTGATGGGTAGAAGGAAGAGATATTTTCCTCCCCTGCACACTCAAGACCAAGCTGTCATTATTTTGTCTGGATATTTAGCTTCCTTTTGACTTTAGAATGGTTTGTTTTTGAAAGGGGGCCTGAGTGCCTGGTAACAAATTTTGGTGAGCCACGCCGGGAGCTCGGTATCACCCTTACTGACCAGCTGCCAGGAAAAAAGTATCACTAGGGAGGTTTTTCTAGTCTGTATTCACCATGGTTCAATCAGGGAAGCAGAATCAATAGGAGATGGATAGATAGACATTTTTAACAAGGAATTGGCTAAGCAAGTCCAAAATCTGTAGGTCAGGCAGGCAGGAAAGGAAGAGGACAGGCAGGCTGTGCCCCATGAGAAAAGGTTGAAGTTTTCATTCACAGGAAGTCAGCGGGGAGAACACAATTAGGGTAGAACTTCATTCTTCTCGGGGAAACTCAGCCCTGCTTTTAAAGCCTTCCAACCAAAGGCTTTAAATCAGGCCCATCCAGATTATCCAGGATAATCTCCTTTACTCAAAGTGAACTGGTTAAGGGCTTTAGTTACATGTGCAAAATGCCTTCAGAGCAAAATTTGGTGTTTGAACAACTGGGAGAGTGGGCCAGCTACGTTTACACATCAGAAACCATCATACCAACCCTCCTACCAATTTCATCCTCACTAGGCTCACCATTTCTCTTCATCCTCTTCCTCTATTGTTAATTATAATATTTATTAGCACCTGAAATTTATTAGTCTTTTTCCTACTATAGCAGTTCTCAATTGGGGGCAGTTGTGGATATTTTGCTCCCCCCACCATATATTTGTCAATGTCTGTAAATATTTTTGGTTATCACTATTGGGGAAATACTGATGGCCAGGAGTGCTATTAAACATAGTGCACAGGACAGCCCCCTACAAAAAAGAATCATCTGGCCCAAAATGTCAACTGTGCTGAAGTTGACAAACTGCACTAGAGTTTGAACTCCACAGAGGCAGGATTTCTTTATTCACCTCATTTCTACCACTTAGAGACCGGCATAGTAGACAATAAGTAAATATTGTTTTAATGAATGTAATAGACCTGGTAATCTATTTTTAATACACCCTCAAATGATTCTTATCAGGGAAGTTTGGGAAACACACCCTAGATGTTGATTAATGGCTTTAGATTCTTGATTTCAAATAATTTCTACTCGTTAGCTGCGACTTGGGGCTAGTTATTTGAACTTGCAGAAGCCTCTATTCTCTGTGGAGAATAGAATACCTAATAACACTGTTTAGAAATTAGATTTAAGATACTCACATAAAACTAAAAATAGTAAGCACTATTAAAATAAAAAATAGTAAAATAAATAAAAATAGTAAGAACTATTTATTTTAGCTCTGAATTTATTTCTCAGCCACCTACATCCATTGACCACACCTAAGACCTTAAGTCATGGAACTGCCCATCTCTAAAATCTTAAACTCTAAAAGCCTGTGTTCTGAAAACCAATTTTCCATTTTTGTAGCACTCTTACTCCCTAAGTCCTACCACACCACTTCATCAATACGCCAGTCCTTTGGTATCTCCATTTTTCCCTTTCTATTATCCCTTCAGGCTAGATTTATGATCATAAATTTTACCATTTTCTGTCCTAACCCTTGGGCCACTCCCTTGGCCCTTTGCCATTCTACTGCACCTACCCAGCAAGAAACTCATCAGCTTCTCTCTGGTTGTATCCTATAATTGTCCTTACATCTACCATGTAGAAGCAAAACCAACTTCTTGCCCTGCTGTCATTTAGAGTAATTGGGTACATTGGATCCCAGTGTCAGGAAAAGCAAAAAACTTTGCATCCTGAGATAAACTAAAAATGGCAGTGATGACACCACCGTCACAAACACACATCCCGGTTATTGTGTCTAGTTCTAGTCCCCCATATAAATGAAACCTTGATCCTGAAACTTTCCTATATATAAAACTAGACTCCCTAAAATCAATCAAACAAAATAACTATCTCTAATTTTACAATGCTGATATTTGAAAACATATGATAGCGTGAGAATTGCTATTTTCCCACCGTGAACATACTATTCCCAGAATCTATAAACATGGAAATTGTGTAGTTTTTTCCCTTTAAATATTTGTTTTGATTTCTATTTGGTGAAACAATTCTTCGAAAGCATGAATTTTCTTGCAAACTTTCCTTGCAAATAAACTTTAGGATGTTGCTCTGAGTCTTTTTTTGATTGTAATTAAAATTTTTGTAAGTGTAATTTCAAAAAAGGTAAAATCAAGACTGTCATGAAAATATAAAATGAACACGTGACAAATATTTTATTCAACTCAATGAGGGAACCAGTAAGATGTTAAAACTGTTTCAAAGTGTATTTGAGTAGCTGGGTATTTACAGGCAATTTAACAATGGACCGTTAATATAAGTTTGCAAGGTTAGATACAGTGGTAATGTCCTAAATGGTAACGAACTCCTTTTGGAGTTATCTGTTCCACTGGAAAGTAGGGACTTGCATCCCTACTGCATAAAAATCTGTAAGTTAACATGCAGATTAAGTGTGGAACCTTTAATCACTCATGAGCAGTGAGATGAATAAAGTAAAATCCCCCAATCCTTGTTTTCATATTGAAAGGACATGCCACTCACATTTTGCCTTGTTTCCAAGTTTTGTATAATTTTCCTTTCAAAGTGAAATTCTCCCTTCTTTATCCTACTGCAACCAGCCTTCCTGCCTCCCTCAGTTACTGTTCATGTCAAGTCCATTCATGACCTCCTTTCCAAATTCAGTGGATATTTTCTGAATAATTTTGACTGTTTCACTTTTTATGTAAAGTTTCTTGTTTAAAATACCACGTGGACCAAACAAAAGATGTCTGTGGCCTAGATTTGGGCCACAAGCTGTAATTTTACAACCACTGATTAATATTTTTTAATACATTGTAAATGCAATCTCTTAGCTTTCACTTAGATTCCATGGACTCCCAAAGCAAAATGCAAATGCAAAGTACACACCATTGGGATTCTCTGCACACTGTCTCCTCTTTCAGAAGAGCCTGAGTTCTGTTTGAATTATATTTCACCTGCTTTGTGTACCCTAAAGGACTAGCAGCAGCCACCTGACCCAGGATTAATTAGCCAATCAGATTTTTGCAAGAATTTGGAATTGGGACACTGAGATGCTAGTCCATCTCTGCTGGTCATTTCAAGAGAGGACCTGTAAACTTGGTAGTTGTGCACTTAGAAGCAGAGAAAGCTTGTTTTTAGAGACAGAAGGATGAAAAAGGTAAGGATCATCTGGAAAGACCAGTAGAAGAGCAGTTAGGAGAATAGTAGCTTAAATTCCTGGCTGCATTCCAGTCCCCTGTCCCAGTGCCTTTTCAGGCCCAACTGTTCTTTGGGATCCGTGATATAGATACCCCCATTTCCATTTAATTAGTTGCCTGTTTAAATTATCATTATTAGAAATTATCATTAAGCTAGCTTGAGAAGGTTTCTGTTACATGCAACCGAAGAACCTTGATAGTAAAATAGGGCACCCGGCAGCGGTACTGTACATGATATTTTGCAGGGTATACTAAATTATCATTATTAGAAATTATCATTAAGCTAGCTTGAGAAGGTTTCTGTTACATGCAACAGAAGAACCTTGATAGTAAAATAGGGCACCCGGCAGCGGTACTGTACATGATATTTTGCAGGGTATACCCTGGAGCAAACTCCTACATATGTTTTTCTAAGTTGAGTGGAGTCTAGTGTCAGATAAGAAGTGGTACATAAACACTGGGTTTGTTTTGTTGGGGTTTTTTTTTGGTGGCTGGCAGGTATGGGGATCCAAACCCTTGACCGTGGTATTATAACACCGCACTCTGACTGAGCTAACCCGCCAGCCACGGGTTGAGATGATCAGAATAAAGGCACCTGGAAAATAATCAGAAAAATATATGTGGACTTAAGAACAAATGTTTATTACTGTTTAATGGGGCCAAAGCAGCAACACAAAGCATTGAAAACATCACTGGCTCACAAAAAGTCACCTTGTTACTTTCTTGGTTGCATTTGTTTATTTCACAAGGCTTCATTCACACATGAAAACAAGATACTAATCCAAGTCAAGTTCATAACAATTATAAAAGTAAACATTTGTTGGGACAATGTACAATAAATTTCACTTTTCTTAACAAGCATTACATATACATTTACAGAGTGTACTATACATAATACATGGAATTGTGGAAACATCTAATTGGTCAATGTTTATAGAGGAGGAGGCTGATCATTAATAGCACTGTTCAGACTAAATAAACTTTACTCTAGAACCTGTTTTCATTAGAGATGTGGGCAAAATCATAGAATTCATAAAAATAGATATTATAGCATTTCTACTACCTCCTCAGCAAGGGAAAGGTAGGTGTTGGAAAGAAAGGGAAGTGGGGCTGATTGGAAACCTTTTTCCCTCATTTAAACTAAGGATCCATGCATTATGCAAAATACTAAAAATAGAGAAACTGATGCAAAAGGCTATGGGACATCTTGGATTCTGGGACCATCTCCAGCTTTATTCTTGTGCTTTCATGACACCAGAGTCTTTTGATGCATTTATATTCTCACAATTCAGTTTCATATATTTATTCCATATTTAATATATAGTTATTAGAAATTATAATTTAATGGAACAAATTTTACATGTTAATTAATTGCAAGTGAAAAAGTAAAGTAACTTAAAATGTTCATTTTTTAACTTGGTGATTCTTTTCTCTTAAACTTTTCAGAATACCACTAATGGTAAACCAGGAATGGGGGTAGGGAGAAGGGGATATGTTGATGAGGACATTTTTATAGCAGGTAGCAAATTAATTTGAAATAAGATTGACATGTAGTCTTTCAGATGGAAACTGAGAAAGGTATGCAGATGGCTGACTTGTCACTAAAATCTCATAAACATCCACTTTTTTCATTACAACTCAAGATTCATATTGAGAGGCAGCCCATGCTGAAGTCCTCATTTTGGTAGCTTTTGAAAGATAAGGAGGTTGCTAAGGTAGAAGATCTTGCCTGTATTATATGGAAGCCCCTATGAGAGAGGAAGAATGTTTTGGGGCAGTTCTAGCTCAGTGTGACCGTGAGCATGGTAGCTAGAGGGAGATTTGTTTTTATATCTAGTAGTAGGAAACACGGCACAGAGCTGTTGTCTGGCCTTCTGGCTTTGATTGCCATGTCTTGAAATCTCAGTGTGTTATTTTGTTCCATGGTACCTAGGTATAGAAAAGAGGCAGGGATACTCTATATAAAATTCCACCAATTACACAAACACAAACAACTCTAACAGTGTTCAAATCATACAACAAAAACTGTTCATTCTCTCATTAGTACTTGGTAATTGAAGCAAGAGAATTAGAGCTAGAGTGCTTTTTTTTTTTTTTTTTTTTATCCTTTTTGTCTTTTTTCGTGACCGGCAATGGATCGCAACCCTCGGCGCTGCCCCCGCCCCTCGCTCAGCCAGTGAGCGGCCGGTCTGTATGTGGGATCCGAACCCTCGGCGGGAGCGCCACCGCGCTTCCCAAGCAGCGCACTATAGCAGTGCGCCACCGGGCCAGCCCGAGAGTGCTTTTTTTTTTAAGGGTTAGTTAAACACCAGAATCATCTTGCTAATTAAAAATGTTCCTTCCCAGAAGATAAAACAACCAAGGTATTTCATGTTTAAAAAGTTCTTTTTTTTTCCCCTAAATGGGTCCTAAAATCAGACAGTCAGTGTTTGATGCACAAGTTTGGTGGAACAATTACTTGACTGATTTCAGCTAAAGCAAAAGAAAGCTCAATCCCTTACATTAGTTACACATCTGGTTAGCATCTTAGGCGACTAACTCCTTTAAGGATCTAACTCTTATTTCCTGTATCCTAATCTCTGTATTCTCTTGTTTTTCTCACTTCAGCTAGGAAATGAAGCCACTGGTTATTAACTGGAAAATATTTTAAGAAAATGAAGTAGGGGTTGGAGAAAAATATTAATACACAGTGGGAAAGAATGGACATTTTAAAGAGTTGACCAAGATAAATACTATTAAAGATCCCAACATCAGTAGTACAAAGGTTGCTTTTCTACTTTAGCAGGGAGAGTTCAGGAAGCCAGTGAAGAAGAAATTACTAATTTAGAGCTGGGAGAGGGGAAGAGAGATACTGGTTGTACGGAAAGATAGGTCATAGGCCTATATACATTCCTATTACGGTTTCTGATAGGCACTCGTGTACAGAACATTAGGTAACTGAGAATTTCTTTGCATTAAATTATATGTAACTAAATATAACCAAATTAAGAAGTGGCTCAGGATGTGGGAAACTAGCAAACATATGCACTGCAAAATTCAGCTTGGTTTTTTTTCAGCTTTAAAGAATGTGTTAAACAAGATTCTCAATATATAAAAGCTAATGAACTGAATTACCAAGTTGAATTTCATTCACTTATTCTACAGAATTTAATGAAAAATCTCTTTTCAGATGTTGCAAATGTTGGATTTTTAGATGTTTTATACAATGTGCATCCTAGGAATGGATGAAAACACTAAAATGTTTGAAAATTTCCTGACTATATGGCTGGTTGATCTCTTTCTAAAAGAAATTTGAGAATACCAATTCTCAAATACATCTTCAAATCAGTGAAATTAAAACCAGTAGTTACTTAATGCTGGCATGCATACATTTTCAAGCAGTAGACAGTGAAGGACATGTCATTTGGAATATTGCTATTATAACATATTGTGTTAATAATCATATATACCAAATTTTGAATTTTCTTTCTTTTCAATCTTTACTATTGCTAATTAACTTAAAGGCATAGCAGTGAGGGACAGTTTAGATTTATGGACCAATAGACATACCCATGTATGACTTGGGACTGGAGAAGAAAAAAAATCTATATTTTGCCTTCATAATCCTTTGAAAGAATTAAAAGAAAACTGAAAAGATAGGTTTATCAAACATTTGGGATATATGCACTTGGTGATTTTGTTTAAAGAAAAAAAATAAATGGACTATGAAATTGAACCAGGTCTACAGATAAGAACTTGACCTAAAGCCATTCCATTTCTCCCTCACCTACCATTTAAGGAAAATTATACAATGCAGGCATTCTGTGGAATGAACTTATTTTTAGAATTTAAGAGCTCTCTGAACAGAGCTATGAGATTCACAACATAAAAGAGCATCTTTAATTTAGCTGGCCATTTAATAAGGTGACTTGTACAGGGCTTCTTGGAATCAAAACATAAAGTACAAATAAAGCTAACAGACTATACTAAATGATTTACAGAAACAAGGGTGAAGATACAATTTTCTAGCCATTCACTATATTTTTAAAAATTATTAGCTTATTTAAACAACCATGTAAGGAATGTTAACGTCAACACAGACACCTGGAATGCTGGGTTATTTTCCTTTTTAGTAAAAAGAAATTAATTTTATGATAAAAGACATTAGAACCAAAAAAAAAATACTTCTGTAAGAAAAGTATTATTTGATGAGTGTAACAGATAACAAACAACCATATCAATTTTATGGGCTGTAGATGATATAAATACAGATGAAGGGGATTTCACTTTTTCAAGCTTAAAGATCACTTTAAAGGAAAAGATCCACCATGAGCAACTTGTAGTGCATCCTTCTGGGGTTGAGATGCCTCTTATTTGATTCTTCTAAGAGTGTTACTTTTAATTATAACATATGGCACAGATGAGAATCACTCTGGCACTACAGAGTTTAAGATCCTTTGCAAACACTATGTTCAATAATGAATCTAAGGATAAGTATAAATAAACGTTATTGTAGATAGCTGAAAGTAGTTTGATTGGTGTTGAAAAACCAGAGTCCTCCAAAATAGAATGGGAATAAAATGGGAAAATTAATTTTGCAATGACTATATACAGACATGTTAAATATAATTGAAAAAATATTTCCACCAACTTTTAAACAATAGCTTTACCTTTCCATGAAGTATTTCTATAAAGGTTTTCAGTTCAATCAAAAATGTTACAAATGCATTTGTATCTCTTCATACAGGGGTTCTAAGGGCCCATTTTTAGGGAGCTACAGATATCAGGAAAAGGTGCCTAACATTAAACTAAGATGATGTGAAGCTGACTTCTATTTCCCATTTCAATACTATGTCCTTTAGTGAAGTTAAAGTATATTAGTGTTTCCTAACAAGTATATGTCAACATTAAAAGAAATACTCTGTTGCTGGTTCTGTGTTCCACTCTAAGTACAATGCTGAACCTGGGCCTTTCTGTGCTTCTCTGGTGAAGGTTCCCTAAGTCTGCAACTTGCAATATCCACCTTTACATTTGCCAGAAATCACATCTGTGTTCATACTTAGGCTTCCTTAGGAACTTGCAAGTCCCATGTGGCGTTCTTACAAGGATCTGTTAGAATACCAAAGCCAAGTGATTTTATCCTGCATTCATCAAAATTTTACATAGTGTATATTCTTAATAATCCGTCTAGTCCATGGTTCTTGGCACTTCATTTCCAGATGTATCCGGCAGAAAATGAAAATAAATCAATTATCTTTGGGGACTGTTCAATCCTTGGTCTGTTTTTCCTTTGGACAGGATTATCACTACCCTGGGAATTACTTTCAGGAGGAATCCTGACAGTGGTCATGACTGGCCCCACAGTGTGCTTTATCTGAATAAATCCTGAAAAGTTAAGAGGTTTAGGTTTCAATTTTTTATTGTTGCTGTTTTTTGCTGTGACAACGATCTTCCTATCACTTCAACCTTAGAACAATAGATGTCTCCATTTTTATGTAAGATAAAAATAATTATGAATAATTAGCTCTAAATAAAAAGCATTTAGTTTTGAATTACTTATTTCCAACTAAACATCAGGCATATAAAATAATGTGTAATACTATGATGGGTCTGAACATGGCCTTCCATGAAGAAGCTGGAAAATTGGTATTCAACACAAATCAGGTCAGTTTAAACAACATCCCTTTGAAAAATGTCATACAAGAAAGAGTGACAGCTACTGAAAGATTCTGGCTTGTTTTCTGGTCTCCTTTACTTTCCTTCAAAGGGACACCAGGAATAATCCTCCTGGGTTTCCATTGCCTTGATCCTTGTGCTCTTGTGCTTGGGTGAGGCCAGAACTATGTGCTCTCCTTGGGTGGCTGGGTGGCCTGTGGTGGCTGCAGTGGCTGGGTACCTGTGGCTGTTTTGATAGAGTTCAGGGTTTTGCTAAACCAAGAGTTTTTTGCAGCTTGGATTTCATTCATAAGGGCTCCTCTCTGATGTTCAAGTTCCTAATTAAAGAAAGAAAATAATTTGAGTTACATAAATATTTTCTCTTTGTCAAAAAAAATTAAAGTACGGTTGTTTAGAATCCCGGGTCTATGCGGCCACAGTTTTCCTCCCACAAAACCCAAGAGAGGTTTAACTGGCTTCTTAATGCAAGTAATAAGTGTAGATCTAAAAGAGTCACCACTAAAACCCAGAATCTGTGCTTTCTCTGAATAGTGAAATGAAAACTCATTTTATTCTTTTTTTCCCCCTGCAATTTAGGTCCAAAATTAGGTTTAGGTTGCAATCCAAGGTAACGTGTTTAAAACCATAAATAAATGTAAATATATCGATGGACTGTATTTTTCCTGATAGCGAAAGCATGAACGAGTGCCACTTCCAAAGTCGTGGCCCTTGTCCCTGAGAACGTACAAGATCCAGAACAAATAGTTGGGGATCACTAGTGTGACATAGATCGGTGCCATGGCAGCTGGTGGGTAAGGATCACTGGTAAAAAGGAAATGAGGAACATTCCATCAGAAGCCAGGACTATTTTTCTAATTATGTTACCCTCCAATACAGAGGGTATAATGGGAAAAGGGATTTGGCAAAATCAGCTGAAGATAAAAAGAAGCTCTAAAGAAAAGAAGGGGTGTCAGCCAATGTTCAACTGTCAGGGTGGAAACAGCAGAGGGTGTGACTTTCATTTTCAAGATCAGCTACCAAAGTGACCAAATTCAATGAGAAGGGACCTTAGCAAAAAATCTCAGGGTAAACTAAAAAGCATATGCTTAAGTTTTCACAAGATAAAATTTTAAAATTAAAATTTCATTTCAAATTACGTGTTTGCTTATATCAATGTTTAAAAATAAATGATGTAAAATGCGATTATGCAGGACACATTAGTGGATACAAAATGTACAAGCAGATAGTAACATGACTCTGACGTAGACAGGTATATTCTGAAGGACTAGGCTGTCCCGGGCCACTAACTGTTTATTTTTTCTTGATCTTTTTTCACACCACCAACCTGGATTTTACACTTGGCCTCCACCAACTGCAGCTTGGTTTGTGCCAGCTCCAGCTCCATCTCCCTCAGCTGCTTCTTAAGCGAGTCCTTCTCATCATCCGTTTCAATTCCCTGGTCCTCTCGGCTTATGGCTGCTGGTTTCAAAGTGCCCTCCTTGCTGAAAATGTCGCTGCAATGTTTGCATGCCATCATTTTACCCTGAAATAGCCAAAAGAGATAACCAACATCAAACTCTGTTTCATAGGCTAAATCACTTCCTGAAACAATGTGATATGACTTTTTAAAAACCCTGCATATTGTCATCAAATACAGGTCCATTTCTGACAGTAACTGTTCTTCTTGTGCTGCAAGCAAAATAGTTACAGTCAGCACAAAACCCAACTATCCAAGACAGGTGCTCCTTTTTCTTTAAGTGTCTCTAGAAAGGCCCCAGGAATAGAAAGCATTATCACATCTCTTTGAAATCTGTTCTAGAAATTTTGTGCTACCATTACTCTTACTAGATGCCAAGCCCCATATCATACGCTCTCGATGTAGTATTTCATTAATCCTAGAGCAACTGCACGAGTTGGCACTATTATCATCCCTACTTTATAAATGAAGAAACTCAGAGTTTAAATAACTTGCCTATAGTAGACTGAGGAAGGTCATCACGACTAACCTGAATCTACCCCTGCAACAAGTACATGTCCTGTTATTCATCTTTCAGCAAAGATGATCATTATTGTTTGAGGTAATAAAAGTTAACTCCACCACATGCCTGGATTGCCAATCAAGCACACACAGCACTGAATAGCAATTGTTGTCAAGACAACAGTGCTGTTTTTTCTTAAAATCTCTTCAAAAAATAAGTTAGAGATAAAAGATATTATACACTATTTCTGTTCTAACGTCCTAATGTTACAACAAGCCCAGTGTATCTGCAACCGTACCTATACTCCTCTCTTTTTTTTTTTTCCTTTTTTCTGTCTTTTTTTCGTGACTGGCAACGGATCGCAACCCTCAGTGTCGCGCCCGTACCGGACCGGGACCGGCAACGGGATCGCAACTCTTGGTGTTGCTCCCACACCTCGCTCAGCCAGCGAGCGGGAACCGGTCTGTATGTGGGATCCGAACCCTCGGCGGGAGCGCCGCTGCACTTCCCAAGCGGCACACTGTAGCAGTGCGCCACCGGGCCGGCCCTCCTCTCTTGACACGCACGTAAAGTCACTCTCCACCACACTTCTGTTGTGCATGTCTGTGCATGTCTCCACCACTGAGGCCAGAAGATTTTGGTGTCATCTTTTCTTAGCTTCTCCTTCATTCCATGTCCAGATGATCATTAACTTCTTCCTCTGACATGTCAAGCTCTTCCCATCCCAGGCCTGAATCCCAAAGAGTCACGTTCTCAGTCCCCACCAGCTTCTTTCTTATCCCACCCATAATCTACTCTTCAAAGTTCTGCCTGATTAATATTCATTAGAAACATTTTAAAAAAAAACTGTCAGTCTCTTACTTGAGATCCTGGCACAAAATAGGCATGCTGTCAATATTTGTTGTGTATTTGTTAACTAAACGTTAAACGTTAAAGAAATGGCTTTTGATCTGGGTCTTAAATGATTAAAAGTTTACCAAGCTGGGTAAGCAATTTTATTAGGTTGAATCATATGAACAAATAGACTGATCTCATAAAAGGGAGGGCAACATTTCAGCTGAGAAAATGCTTGCAAAGATATTGCACCTCAGAGAACTTCAAAAGATCTGAAATGGCTCCAACAGAGAGTAAGTGAGAGGGTGAGAAGTGAGATAAGAGCTCTCTGTGGCCCGGGTTGTAAAGGCCCTTAAATACCATGCTACCCAATCCTGGTTCTGTCCTACAGAAAATGCATGCATTTACTCCACCGAACCCTGTGCTGTATGTTGGAGACAGAGCAATAAGCTTCATGGAGCTGCATGCTAAAATGCAGTATCTACCATATGCTAAAATCCAACATCCATCTCTCCTTCTTCTATAGTAACAGAACCCTGATTTTATTTGAGCTGGCAATGTGTCCAGATAAAAGCTGACATTTCCCAGATTCCCCTGAAGATAGGAGTAGTCATGAAATTAAGTTCTGACACGGAAGCAGAAGTGTGGTATGGAACTTCTGAGAAGACTGTGTAGAGAGCACTCACCCAGCTGGACCGAGGCCCTTATATACTTGCATCTCCTTTTAGCCAAAAATTCTGCTGTGGAGTATGAGTGTGATGGTAGAGGCTCCAGTTGACAGATTTGACTTTTAGGTGACCTTAAGGACGGAAGCCCATGCTGATGTGGGTCACTAGAGACTGATGAGCTTGGGTCACTGACGACACCAGAATCTACCTTTCTAGTCCTACACTGCTTTTACATGAGATAATCAACAACTTTTGTGTTTAAGCCAATGTTATTTTGGGGTTCCTATATGTGGCCAATCTAATTTTAAACTGATACATAGAGTGAGATAGTCAAATTTATACTTGGGAACACTCACCTGATTACCGTGTAGAGGATGAACTGAATGGGTGGTAGTAAAAGAGGAAGGTTATTCCACAAAGTTGGGGAAACTAGAAGCTATCATATCTTACCAAATGAGATGAAGAGGAAGTAGCACTGGAGAAAGGGGAGGTGGTATAGTCTAATGGCTACGGGTATGGACTTTAAGAGTCTGACCCCCTGGGTTCAAATCCTGGTTCTATTCCTTACCAGCGGTGTAACCTTGATCAAATAAATTACCTGTGTTGGGCCTTGTCATCAATAAAGAGAAGAAAAAAATAGTGTCTATTTATTTTCTAGGGTAGTTGTCGGGATAAATGAATAATACTTGTAAAGCCTTAGAACAGTACACACAGTAAATGCTTAATAAATGTTAGTAATTGTTCTTTATTCTGGCTAAAACAAGTTCACATTCCTCTTCCTGAATGTCACAGCCTTTCATCCAATATTTTCCTCGGTTCCTTAATAATTTTTTTTTTTTTTTGGCAGCTGGCAGGTAGGGGTTTGAACCCTTCACCTTGCTGTTATAAGGCTGAGCTCTAACCAACTGAACTAACCAGCCCAGCCCCCTTAATACATATTCTAATCATCCCAGTCTCCTTAATGAGAAACTGAAATGCTTATTCCTATGTCTGGGTCTTTGCTCACAGTGTTTCTTCCAGAACGTCCTCTCTAACTGAATTCTAACCATCCTGCTTTAGTCCAATCTCCTCCATAAAGCCTCCTTTGGCCTCTGGTTCTTATGATTTTACTTTTAGTACAACTCTGTCAATGTGATCCAATTCAGCACTCTCAAACTGTTTCCTAAATATTTCATGTGTGTATATGTAACTTGTCCTGCGGGAGAATTCTAGGCTCTTTTTCGTGTGTAACTTCTATATCAGAATGGCAGTCTAATAGTTGTGCACATAGTAAATGCTCAATAAAACCTTAACTGAGTGATCAATAGATACTTTTGTTTCATTTTTATTTCCATAAAGATTTCAGTTTAGGCTAGTTAACCCTTTCATGACATGATACTTCATCAACTGAATCTTTGTCAATGTCCCTACAATATACAAAGAATGCTAAATGCTAAGTTGAAAGAAGTGCAAATGTAAACCAAAAAAGGAAGATATGAACCTCAAATTCTAGCAGGTTTGGAGAAGGAGACCACCAACCCTATACTCACTAATAATCTCAGACTGATGTTTTATAACATGAAATGAGAAAAAAAACACTTGTATATAAGATCTTATATGTCAGGTACTAATCTAAGCACTTTACACACGCTATCTTTTTAATCTTCAAAATGATTGTATGAGACAGGTAATGTTATCTCTATTTTATAGAAGATAAAGCTTACGGGGTTAAATAACTTTTCAAAGTGGTTAAATTATATGCTTAGAACACATGTATTTATTAGTATGAAACCTGAATATATTCAAATAGGATGATGTCAGGTTGTGTAACTCTGGTCCTAAGAGCTGACTGTGCCAACCCTGCTTCTTAAGAATATCCATTTGGTTACTGTTGTTTCTATAGAAAAAGCCACTACTTTTTTCAAGTAGAGCATCAACATAATGAGTTTTACCACAAGGGGGCAGCATATAAAGGACTGCTACAGGTTTTCTTTCAAAATTTGGTAGAACAATCAGTTACCTAACATGCGTTTTTCAACTAAGTTCTATGGTGTTTACTGTTTAACAGAGTGATTGATGATCCTACTGAGTCCAAAACTGAAGCCACATCAATTCAGACACAGAAAGATGTGGGCTGCCACAGGTTCCCAGGCTGCCACCATTCAAGAAAGCTGCAAGGCTCATCCAAAGCTACCTGGCTCAGGGGCCTCTTGTGACAGTGCTCAAATCTCACCTCTTCTCCTGCTTCTGCCTCTGACAGCCTATACAATTTATGGGAGCACAACCTCTCAGGTGGCAGGGAAGATGGTCACATCCCAGTCAGAAGAGAGGTATACTATTCTCCATAATTCCTGAATCCTTTCATTCAAAATGGGGGGCGGGGGGGGCGTGGTGAGGGGGGAGGGACAGCGGACTTTTTTAGGAACTCACAAAACCATGTGAATTTGGATGAAAGTATACCCCAGAACCATTTCACATCTCACCTTTACCACTTCCAGCTCTTCCTTGCTGGCTGCTTGCTGTTTCTCCAGCCTGGTACTTAACTGGGAACAGATCTACAGGAAAGAAAGGAGGTTTTTTTTTTTTTTACTATAAAACAGCATGTGCACATAACTTTATCAACTCATGTATTACTCTAGCGTAGCTGATCTCAGAAGAAATTGTGCAGATGAGCAGCACTGCAAGTGCCAGTCATTTCTGAAACAAGCAGCAGACAAGGCTGAGAGTTCCATGCGTACAGCACAACTCTCAATTAGTAGAAACATACATGGGGTACATTTGGTTTCTGTCTGTCATCAGCCTTCTGTGACTAGTTCCAGAGAATTCCTGGCCTCACTTGGAATCAACCAATAGAGTCTTTGCTGAGTATCTACGTTGTACAAGGTACTATGCTGAGAGTCAAACGACAAAAATTCTGAACCAAAAACTTCTTCTGTCTATAGCCATAGAGTCTCTTTTTTCAGTCACAAAAGTTTCTTTAAGAAGTGGCAGAGTGAATAAAGCAAAATGACCAGAAAATAATACAAACTAAAACTCATACATATCTAGCAGTTTGGCTACACAGCATAGAAATTAAAGCTTAGGTGCTGGTGTCACATGTGAGTTTAAGGCCAGTCCAGTTCTACTACGTTATAGCTTTGTGGCCTTGGACAAGTACATTAGTCTTTCTAAGCCTCAGTTTCCTCATGATTGAAAAGTTCTGTGCTATGATAATCAAGTGAAAAAAATGTATGTAAAGGGTTTAGTATAGCACTTGGCAAATACTAAGTGCTTAATATGAAATCTTTTATTATTATTGATTCCGAAATCAGGTGCTAACAAGTACTAGGAACAGTTACAAATAAGAGTTTTCAAAGGATAAAATTACCTAAAAAATATTGTATGTTCAAATCCACTGACTGAAATAAGAATCTTTTCTTTTAGAAAAATGGATGAAAAAACAGGGGATTCAAATTTTAAAGTACAATTTGGGCTAAAAACATATATGGTCTACCTCTATTATCAAAGCAGACATTTTTAAAAATCCTGGTCTCTACTCAAAAATAGCTCTGGAGACCAGGGCTTGCTTGCTGAATTCTGTTTTCAATTTCTCCAGATCCAAACCTGGAGAACAATTAGTTCCCAGGACTGTATTGAAGAAAGGATCACCCTGGTAGTTTTTGCAAACCACATACCCTTTTAAATAAACCAAAGCATTCTGAAATACAGCCAATAATAGCCAATTCCAACTACAGAATGCATTTAAATTATGTTTTATATCCTAATTATCTTCATACAGATGGGTCTCTGTTGCCTTTTACATTACTTGAAGTGCCAAGGACTATTTGAAGAGTGCTGCATATGGTGGCCACCCATGGCATAATGAGGCAATGACAAAAATGCACTTGCAGTGATGGAAAATTCCATAGCACGACGTCTTTAACGTTCCTTGTATTGGTTAATGTCTAACCGTTCTTCTCCTAGTTACCCAAATTCAAAATCTTAGGAACACTGTCAGCATCTTCCCTTGTCTTTTCCATTTTCACTATTACTTATTTTGGTTCAGGGGCCTATTTCTTCTCACTTAGACTCTGGTATTAGCCTCCTTCTGGTCTATGTCCTTGCCTGAGGATCTCTCTACTTGGTTCCTCATTCCTCACTGGGACAGATTAGTGTCAACAATATGCCCCTGATCAGTTTGCTTTCCTGCTCAAAAATTCCTACTACAAACAAAATAAAAATCCAAACTTCTCAGCCTAACCCTGAAGAACTTCCTTGATCTGGGCCTCAACATTCCTTTGCTCCTCTTCTGTACTTTTTGCCAAATAAGATTTTTTTCTTTTCACTAATCTACCTCCATACCTTTGCATGTCCCTTCTTTCTACCTTTCCATCCTCTTCTTCTCCATCTCTAAGTCTCACTTAGCCTCTGAAGCACAGCTCAAATCATCCCTTCTCCAGAAAGGGTTTCTTCATTTCCACATGTAATAAGTTCCCTTTCCTCTCATTTGTATGTAAGGATTATCTCCCCATTACAAGATAAGCTTTTATTTTTTTAATTTTATTTATTTATTTATTTTGTCTTTTTTGTACCCTTTCCTCTCATTTGTATGTAAGGATTATCTCCCCATTACAAGATAAGCTTTTATTTTTTAAATTTTATTTATTTATTTATTTTGTCTTTTTTGTAACCGGCCGCACCGCGCTCAGCCAGTGAGCGCACTGGCCATCCCTATATAGGATCCGAACCCGCGGCAGGAGCGCCGCTGTGCTCCCAGCACCGCACTCCCCCGAGTGCGCCACGGGGTCGGCCCCAAGATAAGCTTTTAGAGGAGAGAAACTGAGTTAATTCATCTTCTTGTTCCCCCAATTATTAAGCCTCACATGTAGGAGGCATTGAATAAACATACGTTGATCATCATAAAAGAGGAAGGTAGCTCTAAAGTCTTATTTCCAAGCAATTTTCCATGAATGGGGACTCCTTATGAAAAGATGTTCATACTATATTAAGTGATCTTAACTTAGTTCCAAAAGATAGGATGAACAATACAGTGCATCTATTTATATATACAATAACTTTATTTATATTTACTTATATAACAACAGTGCATACCCAACATATTAAAAAGATTATCTCTAGTTGGCAAGATTAAGGGAGATCTGCTTTCGTTGGGGCTTTCTGCACTTTTCTAATTTTCTACAAACACACAAATTTCATTTATAAGCGTAAAGACACATTTTTAAAATACATGAAGTATCAGACTTCAAAGTCTGGTGTGAAGCAGAAGATCCCAGGGAAGTCCTTGGACCAGAAGATGGCATATGGTGCCTCAATTCTGGAAACCTGGAACTGGAACAGTCCACTCGGGGTCTCTCAGCAGTGAGGAGTCCTTGCCATGTCTGGCCAACAGGAAGAAGAGGAAGAAGAGGAAGACAGAAACACCCTCAAGGAAAGTGAGCCCTCTGTTAAAAGAGCATTTTAAGGTTCACAACAGACAGCTTCCTGCTCGTACTAGTCTGCAGTGGCTAAGGCCACATAGGCATGGGGGAAAAAGAGTGCCCACATTCTTTATTGTGACAGGAAAGGACATACTGGTCCTCTAGTTATTGCTATTTAATATAATCACTAAACTTTGTAAAGAAGCAAATGTCACTAGTGTGATCCATTGGAAATTAGCTTCTTAGTAAGGCAGAAATAGGACCTCGATGGTAATAATAAGGTTCCCCATTCTTCTAAATCTACCAAACATTGTAAAAAACCAACAGATTGTTTTGGTTAATTAGACCTCGGAAGTTATCAGCAAGCATGTCCAACTACTGTCTCTTTCAGAGGAGAGAGTGAACCAACACATTTAATAAATCTGGAAAACTGTTCTGGAAACTCTAAAAACAAAAATGTTTTTATTTCCCCGAAGAAAAACAACAACAAAAAAATAATTACTTTCATAGCAACAAAAACCACCGTGGCACATTACCTGCTTATACTCAGCAATGATAGCTGTAGTCTTCTTTATTTCATATTCTGCCTTCTCTAGCTGTTTCCTGAAGACTTCCTTTAGCTAGAAAGAGTGAGAATGAGAAACATCAGGATTCAGCCAAAATCTTAATAAATTTCTGCAAACATCTATATTCAAGTCTGCCTGATTCAGAGTCAATGACAATGGTAACAACTATACAAATTTTCTTCACTGAAGTTGCATATTGATAATTTGAAAAATGTAATCATCTCCAGAGATGCAGAAATCTCACTTTCTTTCCTGTAAAGTATAAAACATACGAGCAACGCTATTATAAAATTGCTTATGTTGCTAGTTACTTCTAAACATATTGCTAAATAAGTATCCAATCAGAAGCTATCTTTATCCTTATGAGTCTGAAACAAAACCTCAAGTCAACACTGCATGCTAAATTTGTTACTCTTGATGCTGTGTTATAAATCACTGAAAAAGCATTTCAGGCTTTCTTATTCATAGTACCCTTCTGTTACTGCTGTTACCTCTCAGAAGGCAGGAACAAGAGGCTTTTGAAAATGGAGTCAGAGAAAGACGGGGGTAGACAAGCTCTTGAGAAGGACAGGAGATTCAGGGATTAAAGAAACGGTGACTTTGGAAGGAGCTAAAGTCACACATAATGCAGGTACTTGTTATAGTCACTGAAATACTAAATTATGAATGCTATACTTAAAACCACAATTATTTTTGTAGCCCAGCAGCTCTAGAATTCTAGGTACAGGGGAAGGTTAAGTTGATGAAAAAGCTCATGTGCTATGAGCTAAAAAGGAAAGAATTTAATTCTGCCAAGTTACGGACCAAACAAAAAATCAAACAAAAAACAACTCTGGTTATTCTTTAAGTACACAATTAGAACAAAGGGACAAATTCTGCACTACAACATCCTAAATTACTGTACTTGCTAATTCATAATTATCACAATTTATATATTTTCTTATTTTAAAAATCATATATTTTATTTTATTTATTTTTTTGTGGCCAGCCACAGGGATTGAACCCTGGACCTTATAGTGTTATTACTACCACACTCTAACCAACTGAGCTAATTGGACAGCCTAAACTAGTGCAATTTATAATTGGGTTCTTTATCATTAGAAGATTTCTAAATTTCTTCATATCTACTAGATTCTAAAATTCTAAAAGCAATTTGTAGGTTATATTGATTCAAACTTAGCTGCTTATATTAGTCTTTATTCTCTATCTTACATAATTTAAGGACATAATAACCTTCCACTCTGCTGCAATAGGCTTCACTGACTTTAGGACAGACTTAGATTGCAAAGAAGCTTTGAGCAAGTGTAACTAAATTTCCCTAAGCCATAGGTTCCTCATCTAAAAATTAGGAGAATAATCCCTACCTCACAATGGTCCCATAAGGATTAAAACAAGTTACACAGACAGAGGGAGGGAAGCAGGCCTAAATAATCCATAAACTGGGTAATCAGCCCCTGAAAATTTTTGAGTAGGTAGAAAAAAATCTTGGGCTATTGTAAATGCCAAAGACTCATTTCATCAGATTCCAAGGGGGAAAAAAAATCATAAAACACTTTTTATAAACCCTGGAGGGTGCTAAATGACACATTCCTCCATGTGTAACTTGACTGGAACTTTTTTCTGGTTGCTTGGATATAGGTTTTTGAAATTCTTTATGCTCTGTTTTATATTTAGTATTACTGAAGTCTCAGAAACTCATTAAAATAAGTTAATCGTGATTTAAGACGTTTCCTCACTTTAATAGTTAGTTATATTAGTAAAATTCAAATAAGCTCTTGGCAGTAGAGTTCAGTCATTTGTGATAAAATCTAACCCATAATCTAATCTGTGCCGACCCTTGGCTGGGACTGAAAGGGGTGGAGAGCCTTGGTGAAACAGCCTGTTTGTCCTTAGGGAAGCCAGAAGCTCCATCTCCTTCAGTCATTTGTGATAAAATCTAACCCATAATCTAATCTGTGCCGACCCTTGGCTGGGACTGACAGGGGTGGAGAGCCTTGGTGAAACAGCCTGTTTGTCCTTAGGGAAGCCAGAAGCTCCATCTCCTTGGGTGGAGAGGTCCCTCTCCCCTGTCCTGTACTCCTCTGCCGTGGTGGGTTCTTCTGGCTGATCAGTCTCACCACTCACATGAAGAGTGTAGGGCTACCTTCAAGGCTGGTTGCCAAAGGGTGTCTTTATACTCCCCCAGGAATAGGTTTGAGAGCTCTGCCAGGAATGTTCTTCTAAGGCGTGAGTCAGGAATATTAAGCGTGACTGATTAAGGGAGAGGCTGTGTGGCCAACTCCCAGCAGAGATCTCTGCAGGCTTTCAGTTTCCCAGGGCTCATCAACTCCTTCAGAGAAGTCAATTATCTTAGAAACACGGCATGAAGTTTGCAGATTCGTCAAAGCTCTTGGATCGTAATTTCACGTTACTAAACTTAGAGAAAACTCAACACTCTTGCTAAACATTTCAGGAAAGGCAAATTCCTAAAAGCTGTTCAAGGGTAGAAATATTGCCTCCTCTTCTAACACCCTTCAAAAGAAATGTCACGACTCAACTACTTACATTAACTGCTTTAAACGTCACCCGTGATTTAGACAAATTTAATTTTACTTCTTTTTCATGGTGTTGATCAACTCTCTACCAATATACCTGTGTGAAGAAAGGCCCACGCATGCCTTTTACCTGGGCAGTCTCTTCCTCTTGCTTCCTCTTCTCCTCTTCAGTCTCCACCAGCCTCTGTTTGGTCAAGAGGAGCTCCTTATTCAACACGTCTGCCTTGTCTTCTGCCTGCATATAAGGGTGGTCGCAGTCATAAATAAGGTGAAGAAACTGTGTGTACACCTTCTCCAAAACCAGTCTCTGGTCATTGTTCCAAAATCACTACAGGCCGTTCTTTTCCCTCCTAGCTCACCCAGGGGGTGGATTCTTTCACTGAATGCCAACCATGTGCCTGACACTAGGCACACATTATTTCTAATCCTCATACAATAAATAATTCTACAGTGAGGTTTGGAGAGATCAAATAAACTGGGGTTCACACATCTACTGTCAGAGTCCATGCACTTTCCAAAGGCTTCTTATACGTGTTCTTAGATGTCACAACAGCACTCACTGTGGAGATGGATCTGATGAAGTGGTAGAGCCTCACGTAGAAGTGTCTAACTGGTGGTGTGTGGGGGTGGGTTCAGAAGATGGGCGGATAGGCTGATCCATGGACAATGGTTAGGCGAGAAAATTCAAAGACCAGCAGAGGTAAACTGGCCCATAAGGCCACTCGCACAGGTCAGTGAGTATAATAAGGAGAAATTTACACCAAAAACCTTTGATAGAGAGAGCAATGAGGAAAACCGAAGTTTGGACCAGGAATCAAGGCAGAAAAGACCATATTTCTAGAATGGCCAGGAAAAACTCAGAGAAAGCACTCTGGTTTTAACTTGGACACAGAGCCAAAATTAACTCTGAAAGCACTGTGTGACTGTGTGTATTTAATTTAGCTAATGTCTATTTTACACTCCAGGACCCTCAATTTCTCCTCTAGGTCCCAACTTCAAGTTCACACTGCAAAGGCATGCCCTGACTGAGCCCTGCCCCACTCACCCCCATCTAAGGTCCCCTGTTTAAATCTCTCATATTTCCCTTGACAACACTGTTAATAACAAATTACATGTGGGATTTATTTGTCTTGCCCACTAGACCTTAACCTCCAGGTGGCAGGAACCATCTCTTTTGCTCATCAGTATATGCCCAGCACCAAGCCCAGAGCCGAGTGAAGACAATGTGCTCCCTAAGTATTTGCTGAATGAGAGAATGTGGCTAAGTTGCTGCACAAGTAGACTGTGTGGAGTAGAGATAGCAGAAGACCATAGGATGAATTCAACAGAGAAAACCCAGACGCGGAGGAGAGGCAGCTATTGAAGAAGCTATCCCTGGCCAACAGCAGCAAAATGTTATCCAAGCAATCGTGAAAACTGGCCAGGTGGCCTCTGTGTCCTGCTATATTTCCCACACATCCAGATGGCCAAGTCAGCACAGTCTGCTGGGCACTGGCAGAGAAAGTGCATCCAGCTCCTCTGTTCTCATGAGCTTCTAGTTTCTGATGGCCCCTAGTCCAGGGTTTAGGGCTCTTTTGTAGATCATTTGGAACTGTCAGGTAAGTTAAGGTTAAAAAGTCCCTTAAAAGTCTTTAAGACTCTAAAACTGGTTCCAATGCATTATATTTTAGGGGGGAAAATCTATATAGCAAATTAACATACTAATATTAGATGTGAACTTAAAAATGCAATGTACACAAGTTAAATATTCATTTAATTGTAAGATATCTTTTTTTTTTTTGTCTTTTTCCGTGTCTGGCAACGGATCGCAACCCTCAGTGTCGCCCCCGTACCGGACCGGGACCGGCAACGGGATCGCAGCACTTGGTGTTGCCCCCGCGCCTCGCTCAGCCAGTGAGCGGGAACCGGTCTGTATGTGGGATCCGAACCCTCGGCGGGAGCGCCGCCGCGCTTCCCAAGCAGCGCACTGTAGCAGTGCGCCACCGGGCCGGCCCTGAGATATCTTGATATAGATTATAGATGCTCAAAACTGCAAATTCTAGAGCTGCAAGCGAGGTGACTGAGGTTACCCACAAATCAGGGACCTTCCTCAAAGTCTGTGACAGATGGTCACAGAGTAGCATATTGAGAGCAGCTGTACTGATCATTTCAATGTTTTTAAAGATCTAACCAAATTTGTCCCTGTAAGTGCAGCCCACTGGTTCAAGTTCTGGGCCAGAATCTTTGTACCCTGCTAATAAAGACAACTGGAATTAACCCTTTTACAGTGTCCCCCGAGTAGTTTCCTCTTTGTGAAGAGAATAATCCTTTTATAGTACACATCATGACACTCTGAAATAAATGTTTTACAAGTTTGGTGTCTTAAAGAGAGATTCATCTAAAATTTTAGCCTTTTATAAACTTTTGAATAGTTAATCCTATACAGTAACAAGCTTCTTGGGATCTGTAGTGTATCTAGCTCTTTTATAGTTTTGGAAACCTCTGTAAGAAAAGGGGAAAAAAACTTCCTTGAGGAAATTTTTTAAAAAACACCTAAATATTTATGCTGAGAGGACCTATTATTTTCATTTACACATTTCCTGCTGAAGAGTCTTCAGTAGATCAAGATAAGGCAACCTCACCTACATCTGTTATCATATCCAACATCTGCAGCAGCTATTGTGGGACCTGTATGGGAGGAGTCCCATAGTTTTTTGGAAGCTTCATCCAAAATGTCACCTCTATGTTAATAGTGAAGTGGGAGCAATTCTTCTGCTCATCAGCATAGGACTGGGTCTGAATAACTGGGGTCTCCCCCTAAAAAGGATCTTCTGGATCTTTGCACAGCCAATCACTATACCCCCCTCAGTAGAAATGATCTTTAATGTTAAAAGAACATAATACTAAACAGATAGATTCTCAAATTCTATCTTTGAACACAAATTATAAAACCTTCACCATAATTTCCTAATAAGACTGAGTGGAATGCTGTCATTATTAAGTCTTCTAATAACTTACCATTGTCTTACAATGTCTTATTGATAGTGAACATTCTAATTGTAGTCTAGGGCTTCTGTGACACCCACGAGAGAAACAAGCGCTGTGATATGTGATTTAATCACGAGTCAACCAATAACCGGATCAAAAGGCTCGACTCCAACATCAAGATGAGGATCTTTCAGAAATGATCTCTGAAAGAACTAGCCAAGCCAGTTGTTCAATTTAAAACAAAACAAAATAATTTACCACTTATTACCTGTAGCTGCTGGTCTAACAGAATTTACTATGGTTAGAGGAACCTAGAAGTGGCCTTCAGTGAGAACGTACAATTTTATCTCTTCTTTTGTGTTCCTTGAGAACATAGAAGGACAGGAAGGGCCCAAAACATGTAGCAACAGGAACTGAAATGCAGATGTTTTATTATTATTACTTTTTTTTTTTTTCATTTCTAATGCCTCAGCCTGAGAGAGGATGAGTTGTCAGAAGAAAAGGCTCTGTCAGAGAAAATCTGAAGAGCCTTTGGTGCCCAGGAAGCCTGAAGCCAGCACCAAAATGACAAGGGTAAGTAATGACTTATTTTTAAAAAGTACCTAATTACCCAATTAGTGTTTGTTCATTTTACATATTGTCTCAAATACAATCTGCTTTCATGTTTTTTAGTGTTTGCCAAAGTTTTGCTATTTTAGTTAAGAGATCTGATTTTGACAAGCTGGGAATGGAAAAGTACTGGGCAAACTGGGTGAGGGCAGGGCAAAGCCAGTGAGCCCACCCTCAGGCTAATGCCCTTACTTGAAGACTGGGAGCAGGACACCTGAACTGCAGGGGCGGCTTTTTGCCAGGCAAATGAATCCCACTGAGGCAGAGACTGCAAAATCAGAAATTACAAGAAATATGCAGAAATAGCAGTTTTTATTTTTCATCTAGATAATAAGATCCAAAAGGCAAGGACCAGGTCATATTTACTTTGTTTAAAAGACAGAGAAAGAAGAATGCAGGGAGGAAAGAAGAGACAGAAGGAATGAAGGAATGACGGCATCCTTCCGTCAGGAACTGATCTGGTACCCACACGAAGTACCTGGGTACTCCATATTCAATTATTTCAGGAGCACTCATAACAGCAGTCATCCAGACTGATCCACAAAAAAGATTCTCCTGGTAGTGAAATGATTTTTTAAAAATATTAAAGTTTTATGCATATGATTTAATATTATATTCTTAGATAATATACATTTTTTTTTTCTTTTTGGTGGCTGGCCAGTACGGGGATCTGAACCTTTGATCTTGGCGTTACAAGGCTGCGCTCTAAACAACTGAGCTAACTGGGTGGCCCAATAAACACATTATAATGCACATTATTTTCCGGATTATTAAAAGTTATAATGCTCATTATTACTTAACCAAGAGTGGTTAAGTAACTTAAGGTTTTTCTATAAATTGAAAAACGTATAAAGATGAATACAAAAATTAGATTTCATCTTATCACTCAGAGATACCTAGTAGTAACATCTTAATATATTTCCTTGTGGGTTTTTTTCCTGTCTTGGTATATCTGTCTCTCTTCCTCATAGGATGACCCAATGCCACCCAATAGCTCTTGCAGTTTAGATGTAAACATTACAAAAGTTTACTGTTTACAGACAGATTTACTGTTTTTTAAAAATACCACATCAGGTCAGCTCAGTTGGTTACAGTGCAGTGTTATAACACCAAGGTCAGGAGTTCAGATCCCTGTAAAGGACAGTCACAAAAAAATTTAAAAAAAAAAAAAAGAATACTATATCATTATCTTCCCATTGTTTTAAAAAAACAAAAAGACATTTTACAGACAACCATTCTCCCCTACTATTAAATATATACATTAATTCTTATTTTTATTTTTATTTTTATTTTTTTTATTATTTTTTTTCCTTTTTGTCACTTTTCGTGTCCGGCAATCATTTTACAGACAACCATTCTCCCCTACTATTAAATATATACATTAATTCTTATTTTTATTTATTTATTTTTTTTTTTTATTATTTTTTTTCCTTTTTGTCACTTTTCGTGTCCGGCAATGGATCGCAACCCTCAGTGTCACGCCCGTACCGGACCGGGACTGGCAACGGGATCGCAACCCTCGGTGTTGCGCCAGCTCCTCGCTCAGCCAGTGAGCGGGAACCGGTCTGTATGTGGGATCCGAACCCTCGGCGGGAGTGCCGCCACGCTCCCAAGTGGCACACTGTAGCAGTGCGCCGCCGGGCCGGCCCCTTATTTTTATTTTTATAAGTAACACTATAGTAAACCTTTTATATACATTTTTTTACCAAATCTTTAGTTTTTTTTTTTTTCAGAATAGTTTTGCAGGTCAGAAAGCTTGTGTGTGTGGGTGTGTGTGTCTTCTTATTCACAAAATGGGAGGTTAAGATTAAATGAGATAATGCTTATAAACTGCTATATATAGTGCTTGGCACATGGTAGTGACTCAATAAAAATTTAATTTTATCATTTGCTTAAACATTTTAAAGGCTTAGTATATATATATAAGCGGACTTCAAAAAGCTCATGGAAAGATTCATATTACCTTTTAATTAAAATTTTCCATGAACTTTTTGAAGTACTTTTATACTACCAGATATATTCCCCAAATGTCTTTCAACCTCTTTTTAGCTCATTTCATTGCATCCCCACTGAGACCAACTGTTTAAAATGTTTTCATTTAATTAGCCATATTAAGAAAATAATTCATGGATTAAAGATTCAAAATGGCAGAATCAAGTGTGAGTCAACACCATTTGGTAAGCTAATATGGAACCAAGACTTTCACTATAGTACTGACTTACCGTGATAGCCTCGTTAATACAAAAATGTAACAGCTGAGGCAGGCTAAATAGGGCCATGACTGAATGGGGATCCCTCTACCCGCCTTGGTTTTGTCTCTCTTAGTCACACATTTTTCATACCACTTCGAACAACTTCCAAATGGGCTGGCTGAATGGGGTTTTCAGTTGAAAGGGCCAAAAATTTTTTTAAAAAATCATTTTCTGGGCTGCTTTTTCTTTTCAAACTCCGTTCAGTGCTGACTCTCCCTCAGCTTCCTCCTTCCCCATCAGCTTTATTTTCCTTAACAGTGGTCTTGTCTCCCATCCTACTGTGGTTAAAACTTTTGAGCTACAAAATCAGCTGTTTATATGGGAAAAAGGAATTGTAGCAGGGACCATTTTAGCCATCCTTCAGTTTTAAACATCTAAACAGATTTATGTTATTAATGGATTTGTATTTTAAATATTGTTAATGCGTAGTTATAGCACAGATAATGACTCTTTTTTCTACAGACTCAACAGTGTTTGTGTCTCAGTTTTTTCTGACCCTGCACCATCTGTTGGGAATATACTTTTTAGAAGTCAGGAAATACTGATAATTTTAAATATGCACAAGACTGCTTCCATGTTGCCAATTATCTCTGAAAATGCTAACAATAGGAAACAGTAAGTCCTAAGACTGTCAGCACGGTTGGAAAGAACAGGGAAAATAGACAATTTAAGGTCTTCCTAGTGACAGCTAACATTTATTGAACACATATTATTGAAATGCTTTATCTTATTTAATTCTTACATCATCCTTATGAGGTAGGCACTTTTTTAGACCCATAGACAGGTTAAGAATTGCACAGGGTCACATGGTTAGTAAGTGGTGATACCAGGATTCACCCCCCTGCAGTCTGGCTCTTAGCCACTAAGATGCCTGTTAATCCAATAATCAACTCTTAATGTACGTGCTTCATATAAAATTTCACATTTATTATAGATGAGAATTCTTACTGGAACAAAAACATTAGGTAGACTAATGTTAGTGTGACATTACTATTGGTGACTAATATCCTCAGGTGGCAGCCCTTGGTTTAGGAAAAATATTGATAAAGAGAAGAGACACCAGAGAAGTTTGGAAGTATAAAAAAAAGTTTATCATACATGCTGTTTAAAAATGACCCAACCCTTTCTCAAAAGCTTGCATTTTCCACTCTCACCAATTAGCACAACAGTCCCCTCCCACCTGCCACCCACCTATTCATTGTCAAGCAGCTCACTCATGTAAAGAACAGATTGAGCCTGGGGAGTCCACAGTAAAGAACAACTCGGGGCTGGCCAGTTAGTTCAGTTGGTTAGAGCATGATGTTGTAACACCAAGGTCAAGGGTTCAGATGCCAGTACTGGCAAGCTGCCACCAAAAAAAAAAAAAAAGAGCAACTTGGTCCTCGCCCTTGAGGAAGTCGTCACTGTGTGAATGCCAGGCTTACCTGATCCAGGTCATTCCGCAGAGCAATTTTGCTGGTTACTAGTTCATGGGCGAGGTCATCATTCTCTTGTTCCAACCTCATGCTGGCCTCCTGTAATCTTCGGTTCTCCCTCTGCAGAAAAAGAGCAACAGCCGGAGGTAGACATTAGTGCCTAGACATGCTGGCAGAAACAAATGGAATGGGTGAGGAAAAACAAGCAACAACAACAAAGTGAACTTTCGAAGGTGTAAAAAGGAGAAGGCGCAGGTGGCGCAGGAAGGCAGGATTGCTGTCTGGGAAACAACAGTGAGTTTAGCTAGCGGTGCGGATGCCGTACTCTACCCAGTGAAACTCACAATGGTCTCGTAAGCCCCCTAGACAGAACTTCTTTATAAAAAATGTTCCACAAGGAGCAAATTCCCAAACATACCCCCAATCTTGTGAGGGTTTCCTATAGACACAGACACAAGCAATTCTTTGTTTGAAACATGCACAGCAGTCCCACCCTTGATCTTAGGAGAAACTGCAAGACACAGAGGATGAAACGGGGAACACCACTAGACATTTCTTCAAACTGCTTTTCCTATATCAGGGTTCAAATTAATTGAGTATACTTAAGAGCACTAAATCAAGAATCAAGATATGTGGGGATGAGGGGTGGGGTAGAAGCAGGGTCACTTTGCTATTAACTGACATTTTAATTCTTTGAGTAAGAATATTATTTACTTTTCTGAATACCTGTTTTTGTGTTAGTGAGAGCAACAGTCCTTATGATAAGTTCACTAAATGTTTTGTTTTGGTTTTTAAAAAAATTCAGATTAAAAGATTTTGGGTAAAAAAATTACTGAGCTGGTTGTTCCCCCTTGATTCCCAGGAAAAATCCAAAACAAAGTTACATGATGAAAGAACCAAGTCGCTAATGCTTAGGAAGCAAGGTCTCCCCTTAAGTAGCCATTATGAATTGGGTATGTTCACACATTTTCAGAATAGCAATTTAGTGTCTTCCATTTCAAAGAATCAAAAGTGCTTTCCTTGCTACTGTTAGCAGTTATAGATTTGAAAGAGAGCTGACAGGAAAGACTTCAATGTGATAAGAACTTCCTGTTTTTCAGATTTACACCAAAAATGTTTCTGCAAGGGTGGCAAAAACTCAGACAAAGCAGTGATGCAAAACCAGAAGACAAATATAAGTTCTGGAAGACAGTGTATCATAGCACATTAGGTGGGGTGAAGTAAATTTTATCTTCTATAGAACAACCTGGTGTTTGTTATATAGAAAGAAAAGAACCTAATCTCTTTTTTTCTTTTTTTTTTTTTTAAAGAAGGCTAACAAACAGATGGTAAGGGCAAAGCCTAATAAGACTTTCATGGAGGGAGAGAATGCATAAACAGGGAAGGCCAGCCGAGAAGTTAAAGGATGAACTTGCACTTTATAACCAGCCACCAGGGCCCTTTCCTGTCTTTTTCTTCAGAAAAAATTGACCAGTATAGCAGGAGAATGTAAAAATATTCCTGAAAAAGATATCTACTAAAAAGATAAAAACAATTCCAAATCACTTAGATACTTTAAGATAAATTTATGATAGAATTCTACTCAGTGTTAAAATATTAGAGGAATACCTAATAACAGAAGAAATACTTATGCTACCTTTTAAGAAAAAAATATATATAAATAACTGGAAAATTCCTGATTTTATAACAATATAAATAACAGATATTAACTGTGGGTACTGGGTTATTTTTATTGTTGCCCTTGTCTTTTTAAAATGCTTCCAGGTTTCTACAATGAACATGTAATATATTTGTAATAGGAGTTTTTTAAAAGGTTTGTTTAAAAAAAAAAAAGCAATTCAGAATTTCAATCCCACTGGAAGGGGTAAAATGCCAAAACAAGAAATTGTTTAAAGTCCACTCCTGTTAGGTCACATTGTACACAAAACCATACTGGATCTTCCTTCCTAAGATACAATGTAACCCCTCAAAAGTGCTGCCTTGCCAGGAACCCTTTCCCAGATATTCCTGAAAAGATAGTGCATGTACTTGGAGGGGCAACTTGTACACATCCAATTCTGTCTTTTCCCTCAATCTACAGAGTGTCTACCCTCCCACAGAAGCATGATAAATGTGGAGACTAAAATACATATCTTAAAAAGCCAGGGATTCTACAGTTGAACATTTCAATCTTCGCCGAACTAACCCTATATTAGAAATAGGGGACGAAGAGTTAGTCTTTATTTCTGATATATCACACCTTTTGTAGAAACAACTTACAGAACTGTAGAAAACTTAGATTTAAAAAAAAAAGTTTCAGAAACTTTTTCAATAAATTTCCCCCTTGCCAGGACAGAGCAGAAATACCCAACACAATGTCAACACAACGCATTTCACAGTGCAGACTGCTTAGGTGGGGATGAGATTTTTTTCATTTCTTGATAAATACCTTCAAGAATCCAAAATAAGACTCATTCAATACTTATTCCTGAGGTAAGTGTCCTATTTCTACTGAAACTGTACTTATAGAACTCCTAGTTCATTTCTTGATAAATACCTTCAAGAATCCAAAATAAGACTCATTCAATACTTATTCCTGAAGTAAGTGTCCTATTTCTACTGAAACTGTACTTATAGAACTCCTAGGTACTAAAGAGCTCCCTCAACTCTTATTTACATTACATTAATTTGGCACAAGTAAAAATGCTGTAGCTACCAGTTTTTCAGGTTACAGTTATATGCTTAGAAGTTAAAGTAACCTCCAGGTAAAGTCATATGATGTTTGTGGAAAAGTACTTGGTTCAAGTATTTAAAAAACATACCAGGTAGCTACTTAACTATTGAAAAAGGATATGTTATGTAAGAAAGAGGCAACAATTCAGCTGCAATTCTGAATGGTAACATCTCACTACAATGACTGCTGCAACTCGAACCCATGTAGATACATAGCTAAAAGGGGAGGGGCGGGGCGGGGAAAAATCTGGGAGAAATTGAGTGTCTGAGGGTCCCTAAAAAGCAAAACAGCCTAGGGGGCACGCTTACTGGCTTTTGCCTCAGCAAGAAGCTTCAGTTCAGTGTCTGCAAAGCAAGCAGCACAGTGGGAAAGTGTCAGACTCCTGCTCTGCACTCACAGACAAGTGAGAAAGCAAGCTACGGGCCAAAAATGCAGTATCATCCTCCAAAGTATGAACCTGGGGGTGGCAAGCTGTCCTCGTGAGACCTCCAGTGCCACTGAGTGCTACTGAGTGCTGCACTGAGACACTGCTACCGAGATGGGGATTTTCTATAAAGAACTTGCCCACACTTACCAAGGGTTAAACAGAGATTATGGTGCTTGGCTGGCTGTCTTTTCCAGCCCTTCCCAAGGAACTAAAACTGTTTTCAGAACTGACTGATTCAAGAAAAAGTTTGCCTTTATACTAGATAGGAGAAGAAAGTTAAGTTTGGGTGGGCTTGGGAAAGGTAGTAACCTTGCTCGGTTCATTTTGAAATGCTGGAAAGGGCTGCCCACGGGAGAGAGACTTAAAGTCAACCCTGATAACCTCTGTCAGCCCAGAGATATTCACATGCTCTAACTATGCACAAGCAGATGTGCTGAATGCTCAGAGCCTGTAAACAAAACAGGCAAATCGCTTCCCTTGCCTTTCAGAAAAGATTACCGGAGACACTGCTTACATAACCATTTAAACCACTTCGCACTGTTTGAAACATATTCTATTCCATACAACTTACAACATTTGGACAAAAAGCAGACAACGTCTTTCCTCATTAGTTCCCTCCCCTCTGCGTAGGAGATGTACAGCTGGGAAAGTTTGGTTAGTAACTTTTGGGAGGAGGATACTGCATTTTTCAAAGAGACAGACGATGATATTACAGACATACATAGATTAAAAAAAAACTTACCTCCTCAAAAGTCATAGACCAACTACCGTTTTCAATCATAGGTACAAAGACAATTGAAAAAAAAAAAGAAATCCAGTGAAATTGTACACCTGCTAATACATTTAGGAAATGGCAATAACAAAAACAGACACTTGTTAATGCTATTGTTTTTCCTTAGAGTGTCATGTACTCTAAGTTCTCTCTGGGACTGCAAACATTCGATGGAAGAAAGTATACTTGAGGCAGCCAGTGGGCAAGTCTCAACTCAGGAAGACTAAAACACTAAAACTCCTCCCTTTCCACGCTGCTATTTGCAGTTTGCATGACTGATGAAAATGCAGTATGTGGAAGTACTAGCAACTACGTGTGAGGTGTTCATACCGTGTTATCAAAGCTGGATGGAAAAAACTTCCTTATATGACAAGGTCAGAAACCTTGCAAAATAGTTCATCTTCAGGCAAAAGAATGAAATTGCTGGGCAGGGAAATGCAGAAGAAAAACTGAAGTCTGGGTGAAGCAACTAGAGGGATGGTAAATGTCATTTATTCCAAATGAGAAACCAGAGAAATGTGAACTGGCAATCAAAAGAAAATAAACTAAAGGAAAAAATGATGGAGAAGGAATTGGCTTTATAAACTGTAGCTCAATATTTTGGGTGTGTTGTCTGCTGCTATGATGAATTCTTGGCACATGTTTTTAAAGACATTTAAGGGTCAGGAGAAAATGTTTTCCTAAAAGACCCAGTGCAATTTTATTAGCAAAAAAATACTCAACTCTTGCATATTTTCTTTTGGATACCTATTTTAAAAGAGTTGATAATCATCGTATTCGAATTTTCAGCAGTTTTCTGACATACAAAGACAAATAAATGGCTACTGATGAAACGTTTAAATGCCTATATTGTCTGTAAATAAAGAACTGACGGGAAAAAAAATCTGGATATCTGAAACTGTTTTATCCTCCCATCCTTTACCCATGACATCCAATTTCTTTCTGATGGGAATTTTTAAAATTTCAAATGTCGAACTAAAAACAAAATCTTGTCAGTAATAACTGACATTTGGCAAACCAGACTGCATTTCCTTCAGCATTTACAAAACAATCTTAGATTATACTCTAGCACAGGGTCGGCAAACTTTTAATGTAAATAGCCAGATAGTAAATATTTTACGCTTTGCAGGCCCCATGGTCTATGTTGAAATTACTCAACTCTGCCACTGTTGTGCAAAAGCAGCCATAGACAATAAGTAAATAAACAG